AAAGTCAAGTGAAAAGCCAATGCCAGAAAGTCACACCAAAGGAGATGCAAAGCCCGTATTGGGCTCCGCTACCATGCGAAGCAAAGGACGAAAATCACGCCCCTGTTTTCCAGCCAAAGGGGCCTTGACGATCACAGAGTCATTCATGGTTTTCATGATGCTCAAATGTGACACATGACAACTAAACTCATCTCGATTTGTGCTGTGTCATCCTTGCAAGTCTGGGACATGAGTAGGATCTGAAATTCTTTGCAGGAATATATCAAATCTTGAGGTTGGAAATTCGTTCCAAAATCATGAAACACATCCAACACCCATGGGGCAATCAGCAATAAAATCTTGGATTCACCACTTCCCCACCCAGAAAAACAAACATCAACCACCGAAAATAACACACCAAAGCGCCAGCAGTTTCAACAAGACAAATCCAATAGGGGAAGAACATGGAAGAACCAATAAAATCCAGAAGCATTTGTTTTCAAAAATTAATTGCGCAATAAATAAATAAATGAATAAATAAATAAATATTTATATATATATATATATGTTTATACGGCTGTGTCTTTTTTTAACGTGCGCAGATTTTAGTAAAGGCAGGATGTTCGAGTTGTGCGAATCATACCCCCGAATCATACCCCAAAAAATCACGATTATGAATTATGAATGTTTCTTTTGGGACCGTTTGGGATTGCATTGGCCTCACTAGTTTCAATGGACCTGACAAGCTAATTGACCAGTGTTGGCCAGACCCGATGATCCCTGGCTACCTTCACATACCTTCACAGAGTGGCGAATCTTCTCCACGCGCACAGAGTCTCATCATTATCCCGAAGCTGGCTGGCTCTGGGTGGCTGGCTGGCTGGCTAGGTGGCTGGCTCAGTTGCTGCTGCTGGTTGGGTGGCTGGCTATGGAGCTGGCTAGTTGCGGCTTGCGTGGGTGGCTGCTTGTTGTGTTGCTGATGAGGCTGATGAGGAGGATGACTCCGGCTGTGGCTGGCTGGCTGGCTGGCAACCAAACCAAAAATCCGTCGAAGAGGAACATTAGCCTAAGCGTAGCTGAGCTAAAGGTACATGAGAAGAACATCCAGAAGAGACGCCGGCAGGCCGGCGGATATAAATCATACATGCGCATGTAGAGCTTCACATTCTTCATATTCAGGTCCTGTCCAAGGTCGTCTGGCAGGTCGAGCCATTGCAGCCATTAAGTAGCAATCGTATTAGGTTGACGGTGGGAAAAAGAGACTCAAGCAACAAATCTTCCTGAGTTCAAAAAAAATGGGTTTCCGAATCATTCCTCGAATCATACCCGAATCATGCCTCAAATTTCCCAATTCTGAACCTTGGTACATTTACAAGATCAGAACTTGTGTTTTGTGAGTTCTTTTCTTTGCAACCATTCGCCACGGGATACACTACGCCTCAAACAAAGATCGGGCATCAGATCCGGGGGATTTACTTAAGCTAGGTTTTTTAAAATTGGGCACGCATGGGACAAAGGGATGGAAAGAGGATGTTTTCAGGATGAAAATGTGCAGTGGTTCATTATGGTTCAGAACTTACTGTATGCTGGCATGCTTTTCTGACAATCGTCTGACTGGATGGCAGAAACCCAAAGCACACAACGTTCGTCTCACATGACATGGCACGAGATATGCAACTCACATAGTTTCGGAAGCTCAGTGATACAGTGATCCCCACCAAGTGTCGTCGTATATCCTGCGATTTTATCTTGCATATTTTCTGATATTTTGGCGCATGTTCAGTTATATCATGTGAGATATGTTCTGGTATGTCAGCGCGCATGTATTTTGACATGTTCATCGGCATTCTCTGTGCCATTTTTTTGCCTTCTCTGAAACATTTTGCCCGGCATTCTCTTGTACCATCTTTTTTGGCATCCTATCTGATCCGACAGTTTCTCTGACATCTTAACATGACATTCTCTCTTACATGTTTTGCCCTTTTAGTATCCTATCTGACATGTTATCTGCATGCTATCTGACGTTTTATCTGGCATTCGGTCTGGCATTTTATCTGAATTTTTAATTGGCCCTTTTATTGTCGTATTCTAACTGAGGCATGCTCTGATTCTTTTATTTGGTACTGTCTGTGGCTGACCTTTTCTTTGGTTTTCTGCCTGGCACTTTTTTTCGCTATTATTCATCTGAGATTTATCTTGCAGTCTGCGCGACCTGTATTTCTGACACAGAAACAAGCGCTACACCAGAATCCGCCCTCTGCGAAAAGCCAAACACCATAACGCAACCTAGACATGGGACAATGCCGGGGTAGGACCCAGATGCGGGTGCATTGAACTTTGCGCATGATGATGCACATTGTCCATCCTCTTTTCCTCCTCTTTTCTCCCCTTTTCCCTCTTCTAGCAACAAAAAGGTTGTTTTAGGGACAAAAGATGATACAAAGAGAATAAAAAAATGACAAAAAAATGCAAAAACGTGCAAAAATGATCAAAAATGTGCAAGCAGCCGGTGCGGCCCTTGATTCTATATGTAGTTCAATCTGCTTTCTTTCACCGCCAACTCGTTTGCTCAAACTTTCTGAACCCTGGATCGAGTTCCACCCTCTGTTCGTCAAACCGTAACCCTAGATCTAGATTCGACACTGTTACTCAAACGGAAGTTCACTGTAGATAAATTCATTACCAAAAACAATCCATGCAGCTGGCTTGTTCTGCTCCACTACGCATGCCAAAATTCAACTCACTCGGGACTCGGGCCATCCGACCACCCCGCAAGAATGAAGTCACCACAGAACAGTAGGTCAAACTCAATTCCCTAATCAAGTGTGCCTGCCAGCAACACCTCAGCAACAATTCAACAACATGTCCTGCCAACGTTTTAAACTTTCCAATCTAAATGAGATAACAATGAATGTGGTCAACAGGGTCAACTCGGCCACTTGGCTGACATTTTTCCCTTTGTCTCCGTAGCCAGCGTGTGAATTACGCAAAGAAATTTCAATTGTGCAATTGGTCGATTCTATTTTGGTCAGTGTGCGGCAAGCTCGTGGTCTGAACGTTCAGACAAGAATGGGGACCGTAAGAAGGAGCAGCCTCACCATAGTGGAACAAGCCCTTCACAAGACTGTCAACCCGACATTTTGCCAGTCAGGTACTTCAGGGCCAACATCCCCATATAATAATCAAAGCCTGTCATCCCCAGACTCACCCATGAAAGCATGCCTGCGCAAGGAAACAACCACAAACCATCCTCTTTTGTGCCTCTTTTCTACCTGTTTCACACCTCAAGTGGTTAGGCAAGCTATAGCCAAAATCTTACTAAACTAAACCCCACTGATCTGATCCCCACTCTCGGGTTGAGCGGGATGGGTGGGATGGGGCGAGGTGCAAAGTTTCGGACGCGTCGCGCCGCAGCCCTTCCCCATCCATCTTAGGAAACACCTTTTGTTTTGCCAAGCATACGATTTCGATCGATATCGTCCACCCGCAATGGCAGAGAAACACATGGCAGAGAAATCCCAATCCATGCGCCGCCATGTGCCTACATACCCCCGGCCCAAGTGAAAGTCAGCAGCTGTTTACGTTTTGCAATCAAACAGTCGCCAAACACAGTCGAATTGCTGCACCAAGGTGGTGCGTGCGCGCTGCTGCCAATGCGTTTGACAATTCATCGGTTGCTCCGCGCAGCCCGTGCGCAGCTATTTCCCTTGCAATCCAGTGGTTGCAGCCCGTTGGAATTGTTGCATCATGGCCCTAGGTGAATCCCATTACTTTTTGATATTGGATGTCGGCTTGTACACGCCCCCGTCTCAAACAATTTAGTGGATTTTTGGAACGATGGGAAGTCACCGACTTTTTTCCAATTAAGAACATGTCATGAGTAATGAATGTAACATAAGGACTGTGTGCCCGTAGTATGTGCACGACGCGGCGCGGAAGTCGGCATTAGGTCAAAAGCATAGGATTTGGGACCATAACAACTTGATCCGCGCCACCCACCTTGTAGGTTTTTCTCTTTGCCTGCCGTGTTTGTATTCCGTCCCTACAATCATGACGCTGACATATGCGCGCTTTCGGGCATGGTTAGCACTGACACTTGCGTTTGCCTGTTTTTTCTCCGGTTCCATCATCTGCATGGGAAACGGTTGTCGAACAGTCTTCCAAATCAGATAAATCAGCACCCAAGAAGCATTTGTTTTCCGGCCCGGGGTTTGATGATGTTTGATGGCGATGGTTTTGGTCTGTGAAACCATTGATTCCCAGTTAATCCTCGACATCAACCCAGTTCCACTGCGCAAAAGTTCCCAGAGGAGGGCCTTCTGGCGCCAACGTGCGATGTGAGGTGATGATGGTGATGTGAAGTGATATGAAGTGGTGTAAAGGATGTAGATCAGACACTGATTATACATGACTATACGCCTTTTGATTGTTAAAATTGTTACACTTTGAGCTTGCAGTGGAAACAGTTATGGCGACTGTGTTGTTTTTTTTTTTCCATTCCGATATTTATGCATATCACAGCGTGTGAGCGAGTCCGGAAATTTCATGGTAGGGATGGTTTCCGTTAGCTCCTGAAGAAGGACATGGTCAGCCGGTTTTGAGGGGGTTGACATCCACGCACGCTGTTGTCATGAACTGAAACATACTGAAACCATACAGACAACACACCGCCGTGAGCTGTTACGTTACATAGATTCATTGATGATAGGGAATCTACGGGCGCAAAAGTTTGTGAGCCGTCCTCGCCGTCCAGCTTTGGTTCTTAGAAAAGGTACTAATTTCCAAGAGTTTTTGACAACGACACTCATATTCACCCCACATGTTTGTGGCAGACCCCACATGTTTGTGGCACACGTCAATACTGCAAGTGGACTTAAGATGATTGCAGTTGGTTTTGCTACTGTATTAGCCATCATTTTTGCACATGAAAGCGCCAACGTTTGCAGCATCTTTGGGTAGATTTTGATAGGCAATGACCTGTAATGAATTTATATACTGAAATGTGCCGAAGTGTCACCACCAACGCGGCTGACCATACAACTCGGAGAAAACAGGATACATTTCCAGCATGGGGCGCAAAAAAGTGCTTGGGGCAAATGAGGTCAGGCCTATTCCAGTTGTATTCCAGTTTGTTGACACATTTGATCAAATTTGCTTTGCCACAGTGGACAAAATTGCTATCAGATTGTAATTCCTTGTGCTAGGCACCGGAAGTAGCGGAGTCCACCCCGTTCTGCTACTACTGCGATAGAGAGTGCGCTACTCGAAAAATCAGCGGGTGGCAGCGATGGAAACATAACATGTGTATACATTGTGAAGTGCGTTGGCTTCTTTATTTGCCATTTCTGTAAAATCCAGAAACTATTTCTTGCACAGGTAGTAACCATTTGCTAAATTCTAGAGACCATTTGCTAAATACTAGAAACTATTTGCTAAATACTACAAAACTATTTGCTAAATACTGGAAACCATTTGCTAAATACTGGAAACCATTTGCTAAATACTAGAAACCATTTGCTAAATACTAGAAACTATTTGCCAAATTCTGGAAACCATTTGCTAAATACTAGAAACCATTTGCTAAATACTAGAAACCATCTGCTAAATAAGTATATAGGATATGTAGAAACTTTTTTCAAGTAAAGTAGAACATGTAGAAAGCATTTGCTAAATCATGTTGATTTCCCAGAAACCATTACTTGAATCAAAGGGGTAATATTTGCAAGTAAAAGTTGATATTCACCATGTTGTCAGGGCAAACCTGGTCAATCTTGGAACACGCATTTGCCAATGGTAGTTTGTGGTGAGAAAGAACTAATGTCTTTACCGCACATGCCAGTTTAATAGTACTAGAGCCTCCTTCACCCATGGCTCACCACACTGAAACTGTTGACGCTTGAAACTTGAAACCATCTAGAATCCAATTGGGAGTACTATCGCGCCATACCAGTTGCATTGCTGTTTCAATCCAGGAAAGGGTGTGTCAAACAGCAACATAAACACATACCCTGTCCCAGCGCAGTTTTTGCCAAATGCACCATACAACGCCGCGAATAATTCCACACGCGATACCCACAAGTTGTGGGATCAAAAAAACATGCTCCCCAAACAAAACCATGTGGCTGATAGCCTTTGCGGGTGAGTTGGGGGATGGTGTTAGCAGGCCTTTGCCACATGGCATTTTAGACACCTCAGAGGATACCCAAGTCAGGGGTTTCCCCCAAAAGTCCGGACTGGTGTGTGCCTGAACTTTTCTCTATTTGTCAAGGTCTGTCGCGGGAGCCCGGGGGGTCCGGTTTCGCCGGGAGCCTACCAGCTTAACCTTCCTAAGAGGTAAATATGAAAGGAAACTATTTCTTAAATCCCAGAAACTATTTCTTAAATCCCAGAAACTATTTCTTAAATCCTGGAAACTATTTCTTAAATCCCAGAAACTATTTCTTAAATCCCAGAAACTATTTCTTAAATCCCAGAAGCTATTTCTTAAATCCTGGAAACTATTTCTTAAATATTTCTTAAATCCTAGAAACTATTTCTTAATCTGGGCGCCAAACCCAGAAACCATTTACAAAACCAGGATTGCTTTTACCAATCCCAACCATTGGACAAGGATAGCAGTCAATCACTTAAAGTCCAGAGATTGCCCCAGACAAGTGAGCCATGTTCTCACCGAGAGAGAGAGGCTGCCACGCAGGCACCCTTCATTCTGTTTCATTCTATGTTCTTTGACTCCTCATCTCAGAATCGGTCACTGTTTCTTTCTTACTTTTCAATCTGTAAGGAGTTTCAATATGTCATAATGTGTCTATATGTGTCTATATTTGTCAACTTAGGTTTTATTTATCTTCATTGGTATGTTAACTTGTTTGATGATTTAAGGCAGAGTAAGGGTATCACAGAAACCGTTTCAAACCGTTTCCCGCTACTTGCTAGGTAATAGTCCGAAACCGTCCGAAACCGTTTCCTACTATTTGCTAATTCACCCTGGCAAAAACTGCAAATAGTTTCAAATAGTTTCAAATAGTTTCTGAGAATGGCTAATTAGCAAATAGTCCGAAACCGTTTCAAACCGTTTCCCGCTACTTGCTAGGTAATAGTCCGAAACCGTTTCAAACCGTTTCAAACCAATCCCTAGAAGGCGTAACTTGAATTACTTTTTTTAGTTTTCTTATTAATGTATTTTTTGATATTTTTCAAAAGTTTCCAAAACTTCGATTTATTTAGGAAATAGTTTCTGCAAATTGGGCTGATTTAAGAAATAGTTTCTGTAAATTGGGTTTATATAAGAAATAGTCTCAAATAGTTTCCCAACTTAGGGTTGATTTAGGAAATAGTTTCTGTAAATTGGGTTTATTTAAGAAATAGTTTCTGGCCTCCACAGACAAAGAGGCCAAGGCACTCCAGAATGTATACATGTGTTTCATTTGGTTTTGCAGATCCAGTTCTTCGGGTGTGTTTAAAAACAGGTTCGATGACGTCAAGACTTTGGTCCATCACCAACGTCTCAACCTCAGCAGGTGGATCATAAAATTGTTTGAAATAATTGTGCCTCGGTGCGCCACCAGCAAAGCATATCATATGAACTGTGTGTGCGCATGTGCAAAGACATGCGCACATGTATGTACATTTTATCACATATTATTTATAATTTATTATATTATATATATATAATATACATTTGTATACAGTATACATATGTGCAATTATATCATATGATGTTTAGGTGTCTCCCTATGTCCAATACCGAGCGACATGTATCCTCATATAAACTTCTGTTTTTAGTCTCTTGTGACAAGATCCTTGTGTAGAACAATCATGCAGATTGGGTCATGGAAGAAGCATGATAAACATATAGTGTCACGTGAAACAAAGAAGGCTGGACAATACTAGACAACAGAGAAGTGGATAAATGAACACAGAGAGAGAGAGACAGAGACAGAGACAGAGACAGAGAATATAGAGAGAGAGATAGACCAATAAGCATGAGATGTACAGTAAATAGTATGTGTATATATATGTGTGTGTGTGTATGTATATAGTTTCTGGAATTCTGATTGAGGATATCCGCGTTGGTGAGCCCGCGCGCTCGCGAATGCAGTTGTGTATAGATATGCGCATTACTAGATGGCGGTTGCTATGTCCTGCTTGCCTGCGGAGCTGATTCGATCTGTCCAGGCACCAAACATTTCTGTTGTGGCGAGTGCGGACGAGACTTATTTGAATTATGCGGTGCTTTTTGATCGTGGCTATCATGTCTTGCTGATGATATGGCCACGGGCAGCTGTTTGAAACCATTGCAGATGTTCCTTTTCCAGGAACGTTTGGCTCGGTGACCAGCCTGCGCGTGCACATGTGGGAGGGCAAAGTTTACAGTTTCCGAGTCCTCCGTCAATCGGCAAGTCATGAGTACACGACAGAGGTTGAATTCCTACAAGAAAAGTTTGAAGGAGGTTCCGCATGCCATGCCTCTGCCTCAGACATGATTCCATGATGCTCAAGATAGTGCACGAGATCTTGCTTGTGTCGCGGTTTGCTTCACACCAACTGACTAGGTCAGGGCGAGAAAATCCTGACGTTGTTGTGCATGGCCAGATTCCCAAACTGTCATTGGAGGGCACAACTCTGGCAGTTCCCCTCGTAGTAAAAGAGTAAATTGTTTGGCAGGCATGGACGGCCTTCCACAAGACATCTTGGAAGAAAGGCGTCAACCCGCGGCGTTTGGTGAGAGTCTGTTTTCCAATGTTCTGATATGAGCCACCGTAAAAATCCCGGCAATACTAAATATGTATTGGACGGACATTGGTTTATGGAAATGGATGGAAATTGTTAAAAACACACGGTAAGCGATGGGACCTTCCCAAATTAGCGATACCCCTTTTCAAGGTTATGTCTGATTATGTCTTTGTATTTCTCTTATATCCACATTAGCGATACCCAAATTGGCCCCCAAGTTTACCATATATCATTATTGGACAAACGTGTGGTAAGCGATGGGACCTTCCCAAATTTGTGGATGTCCTTTCCGTGAACCTAGGGTTTTCGAGATTGCTCATATACATTCTACGTGTGTGGCATAACAGTGCGACGAGGATACAAAAGTCCAAAGCTGATGCGGATGACAAGCGGGAGGAGGTCAGCTGTGCAAGTTGCGAGCCACTGGAAGAGATGTTGAGCCATGATGGAAATATGTTTGAGTGTGATTGAAATGTTTACTAATCATGAATCATGAACGATTATGAACCTGTCTTTTAGCCTTTGGCAAGCCTCCTGCTAGAGAGAGATAGAGAGGGAGAGGGAGAGGCATTAAGAATGTGTAGGATCATGTTCTGTATTTTTTCAACTCTACTTCGGAGGAGAAGGAGCGGTCCAAAGGTCTTTGGCTTGGTTTTCTGATGTTTTCTGATTCTTGGAAATGTGCCCAACAAGGGTGGACGAATTTCAAGTTTGCCCCACGCCGAGGCGCTCCCAAAGTCGATCCCTCTAGTCCACCACTTGGTTCCGAGTTTGTCTTAGGCTTTAACCCTTCTCCATGACACATCCGAAAACACCACCTGCAAGGCCCGGCTTCAAAGTCCCTTCCGCCGAGAACTCGGACGGGGATGGGGAGGTTATGGGAAGTTGGGCCACTGGAAACTCGCCAATGCGGAGATAGCGGAGCTCAGGCCAACAGCGATGCCAAGCACCAGCCCAGAGCATGGAACCCAGAAAACCCGGAGCATGGAAGCCACAAAACTGTCCCACGGCCGTGGAAAACTGGAATCAGAACAAATCCAAGGCCTCAATCTGGACAAAAGCAGGTGGATAGCCTCAGCCATGTGTGGTCCTTCATCCATCAGATTCTTGCAACTTTGAGAGGCACTTTCAGTATCTTTCAGTTTCAAAAAGGACGGAAATAACGGAAAGGTTTGGCTGCTGTCTTGCACGTGTTGAAGGTCCCTTCCAGGTTTCCAAGTGTAAGTCAATCAGCCAACCATGGTCACAAATAGCAACGCTATTCTTTGGGATTGGTTTGTGCTATCTCAGCGCTTCACCTCTGGTCAAGGCTGCCTCGCCAGAGACAGGCATGGACCTAAGATGTGCGTTGTGCATTTCACCGGTTGGATCTGGTTGGAGCAGGAAACAGGGCGGATCTTCCTCTCGAACCTCCAACACCAAGCCAAAAGCGCGGAAGCCAAGCGTTGTGCCATGTTCCGCCATTTTTGTGGTGTGCAGACGTTATGCACTGGTGTACAATAGTGTATAATGAAATGTCTCACACTGTACTGAGGCTGGAGGAGAATGTGCCTTGGCTGCTTAGACTAGGCTCTACTAGACCCACCAGTGATACTACAGTAAAACTGTTCGCACTGAGCACCATTGTAATTTGTTTTGCGTTCGACGCACGTTGTCATGCCTTGCCGCATAGGTTGACGCAGCTGTAACCAGTCTTCCTCCAGTATGAGCCCCAGTTGCTTTGGGCCTTCACGGTAGCAGGAAATTCTCTTGCAGCACGAGCCGTTGAGGCTTTGAAGCTTTTAGTCCCGGAGTTGCTGGAAGAGACGCGAGGGAGCTCATTGGGAGTTGAGCATGTATGATTGTGCAGCCCGATTTCAATTTAAGACTGGCTCGCCGATTTTGGCACCTGAGGCCGCAGTGTGAAGGCTTACCTGATGCCCTCGTCAAGTGCTGAGTTTCTTTTTGTTTTTGCTACCAAGCTGTGGTGGCACATATTACCCCACAAGAGCATCAAGAGCCAAGGCATCTTTGCATTCAATAGCTGTGCAGGCGTTAGTCCAGCACTTAGAGACTTATTGCCAAGACAGAAGCCCACACCTGCTCCGCTAGGGCGATTGCTGCTTTTCAATGCTTTTCACTCATCCCTATGGCATTTCATGACCAATGGCTCCCGTTGCCAAAGGCTTCCTTTGGCTTGCTGCAGCCTGGTAGCTATGGAGCCAACAAGATGGACGTTTGAGCCCCTGACCATCGCTCTTTTTTTTCGGAGCTGCGTGAAGGGTTGCCGATGTTGCCGGAAGTGCCTTCCAGATCCAGGCTGCGTTGCAAGCTGCTGTTGCTGCAGTGAAGCAGCCAACAAAGCCAAGCCAAGCGCTTCATCCTCAGACCCCCGAACAAAACGACACCCTCAGTGTGACTCGGAGTGATTGGGGCTGACGCATGGCAAAAAGAACATTTTGCCCAGGCAGCCAGCGATGCTGGATGTGCCAAGCGCTGCTCTAGGCTGATCTTGTTGGACAGAAATCGGAGATCAACTTTTAGTATTAGTAGATAGATGTAGATAGTTTGTGATTCAAGATCAAGTTGTCTTGGTCAGAAACAGCACGTCCCATTCTTTTCGTTGGTGAGTTTAAATGAGCTTAATATAGCTTAATTATTTCCATTTATTTCCCATGCTCTTGAACCAACGGCCGTAGGTCCAACTGTGTCGTGTTGCTCTCAGATGATCTCAAACTGATGATCGAAGCTCTTGAAGAGTTTAAGGCCCGATATAATGTGCCTCTTTGCAGCGATGTTTCCACTCAAATCATCTGTATTACTGATATTACTGATATTACCGTTGCTTTCGTAAGGCCTTGAGGAGAAGGAGATAGGACACCTTTTTTGGAATCAAACAACCCGTTGAACCACTGGTAACAATGGACGCGTCAGGTGTTCTTGAAGCATCCGAGTGATATATAATATTATATTTATAATATATATATATATAATATGTTCTCACGCAACACTTGTAATTGACAAGCACAGCACGGTACTGTAGCTCCATTGACGCGCACAGCACAGTAGCTCCATTAACAAGCACATCAGAGAAGCTTAAGTAGCTTGCTTTCGCGCCTAAACAGATCACTTGCATTAGTTGACAGATCCCCTTGCCATGAAGCATTCCAGTCATTGCTTTGTTGCTTCTGGAACTTCTGGAAGTGCAGAGGTATGCTTCGTCCAGGATCGAACTGCCTTTCTAAATCTCGGAGGATTGGCAAATGCCGCTAGTGGATTGGCGGGTGCAGCAGGCGCAGTTGGAAATGCTGGGGCAGGAAAGAGCAAGCTGATCCCAGAGCCCAAGGAGACTTGACAGGCATTTAGTATCATAATAGATCATAATAGTATACATCATATTATATAATTATATCATTATGTTGCTGTTGGATGCTGTTAGACTGATGATAATTAGCATCGTTTAACATAATGTTTTATTTTACTTTATCATCTTGTGGTTGAACATGGCCAAAATAACTCAATTAGATGGTGCCAAGGTGGCCGTCTCACCTGAATTTCACGATTGAAAGGGTGCAGGTTCGGAGGGACTCCCAGGGTGCATGGTGATCCAAGGCAGAGAGTCCCCGTGAGCGCTTCAAGCTGATGTTGGCCATGAAGCGGACGGGCTATCCGGATGACCATTCACCTCAGCCAGACGCAGGCAGTCGAGGTCAGATGGCCTTCAAGGCTCTACACTGGGCAAGGCATGAGGTGGCCTCCGCCTCCCGGGCCATGGAAAGCATGAAGTTTGTGAAGGAACAGGCAGCCATGGCCAAGGCCATTGCAGACAAGGCAGCTGTGCAACTGACCTACCTCATGGAGTCTCCATGTGCAAGAGGTGTTGACAAGGAGCCTGGCCAGAAGGTGGGATTGGTGCATGTTTAAACAGTTTAAACTGTTTATGGTTTTGAAGGATGCACAGGTTTTCAATATGTGTTTCTGGATGTTTATGATTCAGTTTTGGAGGATACTGCAGTCAGATTGAAGTCATGTAGACCCTTCGCCCATCCAGAGGCACAGCTTCCAAATGAGAATCAACTTGAGCTGCCCGAAATGAAGCTCGATGCGAAGCTTGACACAAAGCTTGTCAACAAGTTTGCGATTCCTTTCGAGATTGTATCTTGGCTGATGAGTGAAAGGCTGTTTGCATTTCCTGTAGGCTGGGTGCAAAGGCTCCAAGAAGTTTAAGTGATTGAGCATCATCAAATATCATCAAGGTATATCAAGGTTAAGAGTGTGATTGCCCAGTTCAACATGGTCATTTTTCAATCCGTTCCATGGTGGATATTTTTGGCGGAGCTGGCTCACTTGACTTTTGACTGCTTCAAGGCTGTGACTTGCACCCCCTTGTCGATTCTTGGTAGCATATGCAAACGGAAGTGTCAAGCATCCGCAGGAGGAATCAAAAGCATCTAAAAGTCGTATGTATCCAACATGGTTTCTCTTCTCACACTTCATTGATTGTTCTTCCATCTGAGGAGGAGCTACAGCCAGCCTCGGCTCAGACGCATCCACGTTGATTTCCTCTAAACTGCGAGGAGAAAATAGCGTGTGTGCATCCAATGTGCCGCAAGGGTGGCGCGGCTGAACACATTTTGCTAGCAGCGACTTGCGATTCTTGAGGTTGCCCGTGGGTTTTGCACCCGTGGCAGCCCAACCGACAACCCAGCTGCGGGCTTGGTGCAATGGTCCAAGAGCTCTTCAATCACCATGTTCGCTGCTGCTGATGGTCATTTGCTGCTGTTTGGAATTGTTTGGATGGGTTCAACGTGAACAATTTGCATCGAGATGTATCGAGTTCTTGGATGATTTGAATGGCTAAGGCCACTCCGTCCACTAGGCGTTGGCCTTAAGTGGGATTGCTTCTGTGTCACTCCTTGGAGCTGCGGGTTCCATAGTACAGCGCTCAGGTCCGGCACCGCAGAGACCTCAGTTTACATCAACAAAGACGCAATGCAAAAGACATATCACAAAAATAAATGCAAAAATTAATGCAAAAAGGCATCAAGACAATATCAAGACATATCAAGCCCAACCCAACCCGACTTGTCACCTACTTGCACTATCTGCAGGATGGGCTGCTTTCCTGCACAGTTCCCCCCGATGCAAGGCTCCATGCGAATTCTCAGATGTAGACTCTGTAGACTCTGTAGACATGGATATTTCAGCAGGCCTTCTACTCGGGAAATCTTTGAGAACGGCCCCATGCTCCAGGTGGGCCAATGGCAATGTCCCTTGGACCTGGCAGACCTCCTTCAGCTCCGACCTCAAAGCCTGCAATGGCCACAACAGGCGACAGGCTTTGCGACTAAGGCTGTGCCGAATACCACTGGCCAAGCACGTCCACCAGGCCAGACTTTGGGATTGAAATGGGAGCACGAAATTCTTGAATGAAGCTTATTGATATTATTGCAAGCAAATTAGATGAGAACATGTCAGACCTTTGGAAGCTTGTGCAGGCTATGTGCCAGGCCCCCAAACGATGGCATGTGGTTGCGCAGCGCAGCCTTGCCTGCACGCTTAACGTCTCTACCTCTTGTTCATGTTGTGTTCCAATATTTGTGAAGCGAGGATGGCCTTTCCGTGGTTTTCCATATGTTATGATTCATTGTATCAAGGTATGTGCGCAAGGAAGCATTTGTTTTAAGAGATGAGCTGGCGCAAATTCTCTCTCTCTCTCTCTGTCATGTAGATGCCCATTCATATAAGAAGTTTAGGTACCCCTAATATCATCTAATATCCCCTAATTAAATTAAAGATAGCCCACTAGTCAGCAACATTCAGTGCAATGTATAACTGGCACCATTACGTTACTTTTAATACTGCAATCATATTTACTATCATTTACTAGGTGAATTCGGCAATGTTCGAGGAAATGCTGCATAGCTGCCAGGCCCATGCAGCTTCCCTTCGGTGTTCAGGCCATGGGCATGGGTTCGATGCTCAGGGCGTAGATGTATCATGATGCATCATGATGTATCACCATAGGACCCTCTATGGACCATGGGATGCGCTCAGGCATGCCAGCTGCTGGGAGCCTTAACATTCTGTAGAGCAAGAGGATGCAGTAGATGTAGATGTCCTTTTCTCGTGCTGCTTTCATGCTGCTTTGGTGCTGGTCTCCGTTTCCAAGGTGGGAGGGAGGCAGATAGGAGGCCACCGGCCACCGGGGAGACGCACCGTTTCCTTGCCGTCACCTGTCAAGAATCGTCTTGATCCCATGACACGACAGGCGCGCCGACCATGTCGGATGCTTAAAGTCAATTGTTGTTTCGCACTTGCAATGGTGGAATATGGCGGAAGTTTGAAAGGAGGTTATATAAAGTAGGACTGTATTGAGATAGCGAGTGAACGCAACGTGGAAGTGGAACCGTACCTGACACCACTAATGATTTCAAATAGTGATTTCCTGTTGTAACTGCCAGTCGTCACTCCGAGGCCACTGGGTGGAATCGCACTGCCAACACAGCTGCATGGCACTCAGCAGAAACGGGCAACCGACGACCGGCGCTTCTCTCATTCCTCCAGGCCTAATTCTGGCATCGCTGCGCTGCGCTCAGTCTAGGGAGGTCATAGCAGGCAGAGAGAGAGAGAGAGAGAAACAAAAAAAAAAGAAAGAAAGAAAGAAAGAGAGGGGACCTCTAGCAGCTGGCTGTGAGCCCAGGGAATGGAGCCAGCTGAAAAGCGGGCAAAAATGGATGTTGCATAAGGGCAATTGCCTCAAGATGCTCCGAGCCTGACGAGAACTCTTCGGGCTTCAGAAAGATAGGGAAAGCCTGCAAAAGAGTTCACGGGTGCAATTTGTTGGTGAGATTGGCAATTCGTGGAAGAAGCTTATGCATAATATGCAGAGTCATATTATGTAGACATGCGAGAGTCATATGGCATGAATGATATAGGAAAGATGTCACATGTGCGGCCCAGCTGACCAATGCAAATCATGCTTGCTGATGGCTCCAGTGACTTGGGCGACTTGCCCATTTACAATCCTTCACAGGTGATTTCAAGCTAAGAGCGCAACAAGACGGTGCCTACGATTGTACATGTAGCAAATCGCCTCCGGACCACTAAGTAGTCATATTCTATCATTCGGTGTAGTTTTAGAATGTTTTAGATATCTAGAAAGAAAAGGCGAGAAATTGCGTGAAAGAGCTCGGCAGAGTAGCTGCATTCTATGCCTTTATTGCGTTAATCTCTATGTTAACCTTATTTGTTTCTATTTGTTTTGAATTCCTTTCGGTTCCATCCCTAACCAACGTGGTCAGCGGGTCCTGCGCCTTTCGCGGCCGTCTGCTGCACCATGGTGGTTAGAGCCATGGCGTTGGAGGCACCTTATTCGTCAACCCGGACGGTCAGGGCCTGTGGCGGAAAACAAAGCTTTTATCCTTTTGGCCTCCAAAACATGTTGTGCCCGAGGTGCTATCTCCGAAAGGACCCTGCAGATTTGCGGGCCATTTGAATCCATTTGTCAAGTTACATATGTGTGTTTATTATAATATTATATATATAATGATTATCATGTGGTATCACTCGTGATGATGTCATGCATGTGTCTATATTATATATATATATATTTATATATATATGTGTGTGTGTGTATATGTGTATATATATATATATGTATATGATATGTATATGATATGTATGTGTGTGTGTGTGCACGTGCGTGTATATGTGTAATTATAATATTAATAATAATAATAATGATAACAACAACAATAATAACAATATATATATATATATATTTATGTATATGTGTGTGTGTCCGAATTTAGCAGCATTGAATTGTGTATCATTTTCTTATAAGATTTTAAATTGTCAACACTGAGATTCTCTAGCTGTGTCATGGTTTGCCTGCCCATCAGGAGTGCAATCCATGTGAGGGCCCCGACATTCTTATGCAAGTTCTGCTGAGATATACTCCTGTAAATCTTTGTTGCATCCTGAAATGATGTTCTATTGAGGTCCGTTTTCAAGAGGAGTGGAACCGCCCCTTTGAATCAGTTCTTGGCTTAGCCGGGCTGTTCTGCGTAGCTTGAATCACACTGACCCAGCGTCTACGACAATCCCAAGGGCCTCCACAGCATCCGCTGGAAGCTCAATTCGGCCCACAAACACCTACTTCTCCTAATTAGGGTAGCTTGCATCGCATAAGCACAGAGGCCCCCAAAGTCTACAGAAGGCAGGCGACGGTTCCAGCACCAACCTCAACCTGCCTCGCTGGTTGGCATCGACGGCGTAGTGTACCTAATAGTGTCACAAAATATCAAAAAGCGCGAGTTTGCTTCTTGATGAGGCATCACCAGCTTCATTGACAGCAGGCACGACAGGCATGGTGTTGTGTGGTATCGCATTGGCTTGTTCTTGTCAGAAGGAGACTGTTAAACTTGGCACTCGCCCAGGGCAGGTGATAGCACCTTTGCCCCCGGACGCGCAAAACAGGCCGCTTGCATCCGCTTGCAGTTTAGTGAATTCCAAAACGAACCAAGATAATCGCCTTGAGCCAAGAGTCCTGTAGCCTCAACAGGCTAGCTCCAGCCACTCTGCAGGACGCTTCAACACAGATGCAGATGGAATGTTGGAATATGTTGGAATTGTTGGACATGCGACTCTGGGGAAAAGATCTTGGCATTGGATGGCAAGGACGGTACCCCAACAGCATCGCCTGCGGGCCAGGCACAGCCGCGTGCAGCCATAGAGCATGGATCGCAGTTTTTTTCCGTGGCAGGCAGCTTTGAAGCCTCCAGAAAGACGGCCTAGGTGGGCCAGCATGTCTGAAGGACGGGATGAACTCAAGGCATAGCAGGCAAGCTTCAAGTATGGCGCAGATGGATATTGATATTGAGATTCTTGAGGATGTACTGTAGATGATTGCAGGACCTGATGCAAATGAGTTCATACCGCCAATGTCATCTCAGGCGTGTGTTCTTTCGATGCGTCTTTCACACCTGGAGATTGCCTCACGCCTTCAGACTTTTCTCTCAGGGACAGCCAGCAGTAATGGCAGTCACACTTCCAGAACGCCGTCCGCGATGGGCCAGCATTTCTGAAGGTGTGCTGAATGCTGCTTGATTTGTTCTTTCTCAGTGGCTATAACTAGAATATCTATTATGATATGCTATTAAATATATTAAATATGCTATATAATGCTATATAACGCCTGTGACCACAAACTTCGGCCATTATTGCAGCATTGCCGCATTGCATATCACATATCACATTATAGCCATTCATGTTGGTTGTTAGATGATGTCAGATGATGATTATGTAAATGTGTTGATCATGTGTTGATCATGTATTGATCATGTTGGCAGCTCGATCTCAGCTGGCCCGAGTCCCGAGCTCGATCTCATTCGAACGCATTCCGTGCTGTGCAAAGGGCACGCTCGGCGCTCGGCCGTGCTTCCAAGAAGCGGCTCGGGCTCCACGGCCACAGGCGCTCGGGTAGATATGGGAAGGTCCGCGATGGTCACTCACTGTACGTTCCACTGCCATCCATTGCCATTGCCACCTATATATTCACGTTTTAGTATGTTTTAGTTTAGTAAGTGATATGATTTGTTCCTTTGCTCTGCCATAACTGCAAATGATATCGTATGACTTGATGGCTGTTTTACATAAGCCGTTATCATTTTTGCAGGTGTTGAATTTGTCGTGTGGATGCAAGGCCGGTTCTGCCCTTTTCCTTTGCGCAGCATGGCGGTTGCGGATTTGACACCAAGCACTTTGCCAAGCACTGAAGCCACTCCAAGCAGAAGCGCTTCGCGCTCAGTTTCCAAGAGGCAATTTCAAAACTATCAGCATGAGGACAGGAATGGACAAGATCATGTGGGTGTTCGACTTCATTTGACTGCATTTATGACCTCATTTGAGTGTGCCTTTGTGTCATCAAAATCTTGTTGCCTCATTGAGCCTGCATAAGGACCCAGACGCCACGGTTGAATTTCCAAAAGCAGTAGACTTCGGTGAGCCCCAGGCGGAAAGCACAAATGTAATAGACATACATCCCAGTGCAGATGAACCTGGTGAACCTGATGATGAAGATGCATTATGTGTCCAAGCCGCATCGGATCATCGAGCAACTGTTTCAACGATTTTCTTCATCAATTGTTTATCCGTCGGGTGGCTTCAGTCAGCTAGTTTACAAACTTATATTGAGACGCCATCCTCTGACATATCTTGATCTATGATAGTCTTGACTATCTTGACTTTGGACCAAGGTGAATTTAGCTTGTGGGCAGCTCCGCGTTGGCATCTTCTCCGCGAGTTGTTGATGGACGAAGATCTCAACAATACTGCGCTGGGTGGTTTCACTGTGGGGAAGTTTCAGGCACCGCCCAAAGCCAAATCCAGTGCAGCTTTAAAAGTGTGCTGTGATTTCACATTGGCAGGTGGGTGGATTAGCGCGACGCTGTATCACATCCAGAGATTGGGCTACCTGTTTTGCAAGACCGTGTCACACGCTATCCACCGTTGACTTTGAAAGTTTGTTCATGGAGCTCTGTCAGAAGGATCAGCTGTGTGCATGCATTGAGGCTCGCTCTATCAATCTTCTTGGCTTTCCCGGTGATGGTATGGCAGTGTTCCGAGCTATCGTGTCATGGCAACTATATTAGAGTTATTCGCTGATGATGCTTGGTTCGGTTAGTATGTTTTGTTGCTATGCTATAGCATGTTCCTGATTCCCGTGATTTCTTTGGCCAAGCGATGCAGGCACAGGAGTGCTGCAGCGAAGAACAGGAGAACCAACTGAGGCGGCCAACAAAAACATATTCTGGTTGGTGGTTTGGAACATTTGATATTTTCCATAATATATGGGATAATCCTTCCCATTGACTAATATTTTTCAAGATGGGTAAAACAACCAACCAGTATTTTTCAAAATGCCAAAAAACTGTTTGTATATTCTGGGATGAAGGGGCTGGAGTTAGGGAACACGGAGTCATGTTTGATGGCAGGGCGGCTGGTGTCGACTTCAGTGACGTCATTACGCTAGCGCAATTGCGGCGTTTTGAGGCGCGGGAACCTGGAGCAGCAGAATGTGATGCAGATGCAACAGATGATGCAAACATGGAGTGGGAAATGCACTGAAATACATGGAAAGACCATGAAATTGAGACAAGTCCGTCACAAGCAGTTGAACATAGTTTGAGCAGTGTATGAGCAAAATTGAGCAAACATGTTTATTAGACATGTTTAACACGGTTTTTTGTTTGTGATGTTGTCCCATGTTGTGCTACAAAAACCCCCTCCCCATGCCACGACATGCCACGACATGCCACGACATGCCACGACATGGCACCGAGGCACAGAAGACCACCGAGGGACTCATCTTGACGGTGCGGGATGAAGGATCTCCCGCCTGGCAATTTGCTCAATTCCTGAGGAAACCAGACTCAATTCAGACTCGGTTTATGTCGGTTTCATGATGTTTCTTGTGTTTTATTGAGAAATCATTGAGTGCGCAATATATAATAATTATATATTGATGATGTCCGATGTGTTATGGCTATGTCAGAAGCAGCATGTTTGACGTTGTAAAGGTCTGTAAAGATGCGGGAAAACTCAGGATGTGGCATGTCATGCAAGTGAGACCAAATACCCACAGATGCACTGGCTAAGGAGGAGACGACAAAATTTGCAAATGGCTCAAAATCTCGGCGTTTTTCCAGAAACTCCTTGCAGTTGAGTTGTGACGGTTTTGCTCCTTGTGCTTGCTTGCCATCTTGAACAAGACCTGTTAGACGTACAGATGTTGGAAGGTTGAGGGCCTGGCGATTGGACCTAGACAAGGATGACAGCGGAACCGTTACATTTGTTGAATTTTCGACCCTTGGCAGCAAAAAAATGTCAGAAAAGACAGATTTGGTGACTTTCCGGAACAGACATTACGCTTAATTACGATGCTTCCTTTTTCAAGCTTGAAGAAAGTCATGCATTTGGCGGTCAAGCTCGTGGTGAGTGCAACCATGAAAGCCTGATTCATATGCATGCTGAGTTGCATTATCATGCATGCGTTTGCGAGACTTTGGCTCGATATTGTTTTGCTTCTGGCTGCCTTCCATGTCGCCAGAAGCATTCAGGATGGCGGGACCGGGAGCTTCTGTCTCAGAAGGCCAAAATGCACCTGCTCAGCCTGCTCAGCAGACTTGTAGGCATCGTTTGCCTGCTGGAATTGCAGCCGTGGTGCTGACGGCTGCGATTGTGGTGGTTGGTATCGAGGAGTTGGGCAAAGGGCACTCTTCTCCATCACCACCACCGTCGCCACCGTTACGAACGACCACCCTGAGACCAAAATCCACCACATCCATTGCCAGCGTGGATTACGAATGTGTCAGTGAGTTGGACATCGGTGAGGTGGTGAATGCATCGCAAAAAGGTATGGCTGTGGATGATACCACTTTCCACAGCTGCAGTGATCGGGTTCCTGGGCATTGGCCCAACAGCCCAACACGACTGGGATCTCTGAGGCTGTTCAAGGCTTGGGACCCCAATTGGCCTGAGGATGACCGCCCAGCAGCTTGGAACAAGCTGAAGGTCATGGTGCAGAGAGGAAAGGTTCGAGTCTTAGTTGGCACACAGATTACCTGCAACGAAACCGAAGATGACAAGGACTGGGCCTTGGTCCGTGAACTCCTAGCGCTCCTGGGTCCTGAACATGTCATGGCCATTGCTGTCGGCAATGAGTTGGAACTCTTACAGTTCAAGGGTGAGAAGACTGTCCCAGCCTCCTGTGTCAAGGAAGTTTGGGAAGGTGGTTACTTTTACCGAAAGTTTGTGGAACGTGTTGAGGACCTCAATGACCTCAAAGGGTTTGAGGATGTTCGTTTCACGAGCGTCTTTGGTGGCTACGTCTTGGCTGGCAGCCCTTTCATAGACATTCCACAGGCAAAAGTGCTGACCTTCTTGAAGAATGTGACAGGCGTTTATGGTGATCGATGGATCTTCTCTTTGAATGTATACCCATACTTTGATCCAAACAATCGCTTGGACCCGAACAGCACCACCCAGTGCCAAAAAGCTTTGGAGAAATCGCTTTGCATGGATGAAGGATGTCTTCTTCCAAGCACCACATCCCAAATGCGAAAGAGCATGGAGAAACTCACTTCGGAAGCTACCCAGCTTTGGCTGACAGAGACCGGATGGTCATATCCCCAAGCGGCTTCACTACCAGGAGCCAATAGCGCCATGGCAAAGTGCAAGAACTTCTCCTCAGAGATTGCATTTCGAACTTATTACCAGAACTTCTTGAAATGGGACCTCACCATTGGAAAAGAACGTGGCCCGGACCATGCGTTCTTCTTCACCCTGAGGGATGCTTCGAATTTTGGAGTCGGAGAGCACTTTGGATTGATCAAAGATTGCTCCAGCAGCGATTGCAAACTGCAAGATGATGGGAGAACACCGAGAACACCGAGAACACCAAATGTCGAGGTGACATGGGTATAAATCCCATTAAATCCCCGCAGAGGTATGCAGAGGTCAGCGACGCACGCCGAAGGGTCCAGAAACCTGCTCAATGTGCTGCCAAGCAGTATTCAATGAGCATCACCGTACACGTTTTATCAAGTTTTTGGATAGTGCGGGGTGCCCTGTGTCAGCACTTTGCTCTCAATTATCAAGTGCACTAAAGCCAGATCTTAGATTGCATAAGACATATTTGCATGGTTTTGTTTTGTGTGTATATGCGTTTTCTTCTTCCTAACGACCTAGCTAAACATGGCAAGATCTTCGAGAGCAGGTTGCTGACATCTCAATACCTACGAGAAGTTCGGAGAATGATCAATGATGACGTGTTTTGCACTGCTTTGCCAGAATGGGCACGCATTGGCTTGCTCACGACATCTCTCAATCAGTCTGTAAAATTGAAGCCGGCAGTGAGTGATCGATTGCACGTCTTCCTTTTAACACCATTTCTACTCAGACCCCAAGATCCAAGACTCATGATGACACTTGCACCTTTCTCATCTATTCCTTGCCATCTCAGGAATCAATGCCGACAGCTAGGTTTCCAGGGCCGAGTGCGTCAAATTTGGTCATCACTTCGGCCACTTGATGACCGTGCTTTAGAGCTGCCTGGCAAAATAGTACCAACTTGACCCACTACGGCTGCAATGTGGCCAGAAACATCTTGAGCAAGCGTGCATTCGTAGAGATCTTCCAGGTTTGCTGAGCTGGCTCCAACTGAAGCTGAGCACCTGGAGAAATTTGCAGACTTGATTTGGAATGCCGAATGCTTAGCCAGTTTGGAGTTACAAAGCCACTGTTCTCAGGTTCAGCCGCATGCTTGGTATAGACAGCATGAACCTGCCGCGATCGGATATGATCAGTGGAAAGATCTGTCAGGTCTCCGGCTATGACTTGGATAAGGCAAGGCAACTACGTTTGGAGCAACGTTTGGTTTGATATGTGTAGCATGTTGAGAGGCCTGGGGGTTGTTCGACTATGACAAGAAGAACAAACTCACCAAGGCAGATGCAGTTGACACCCGATGCAGTGATTGCAGGTTGTACCGGAGTCTCTGTTAGGCAGATTTCATCCAAAGCTCAGAACATTTGGGTTACAAGGGAAATGCGGCAGGGAGCTTGGCGTGTTGACATCGGACCATCGTTTCGTGACTCAAAATGGAACGGACATGAAGCCAAGATAAGCCGAGAGCTAAGGAAATGTTGTTCAAAGGGTTGGACCGCGAAGGCTTAGGTGCAGCACCTGGAAGTGTGTTCAACACTGCTCATGGTGGTTACTGGTAGTTGCTGGTAGTTGATTGATGTTTGCTGTACATGGCTGTACTGTGTTGCACTTGGGTCGACTTGGCTCCATGAAAATCTTGTTGAAAACGAGGTTGGATTTGGCGGGCTGACTTTGATTACATCCCCAAGGCTGCCAATGCATGCAGCAAGCTCTCATCATTTTAGCCAGTCAAAGTCCTTTCAGGTTTCCCGAAATGCTCGGGAAAGGCTCAAAGAGACTGAAGGACCGGGCCGAGTCACATAAAGATCGTGAAAATTTGCCCCTCTCACCACTGCAAGTATAGGTAGGGCGGCTTGTTCGTCGGTTGTACTGCTAGGACCTTTGGCCAGCTTGGTCAGCTTCGCTCGCTACCAGATGGGTGGCTCTGAGGAAAGCAGAACTGTGAGCTGTCGACCAATGGCAGATGTGTGTGCGTGTGTGAGGGCTTCAAGCCATGTCAAGCCAAATCATTCGCAGGAGCTAGTTGCAAAGCTTGGGCTTGGCGGTGGTACATCAGAGGCCCTGCAATTAGCAGGATGTGGCCAACTGGCATTCCAAGTCATTTCAATAGTTTCAATAGATCCCAACGCATTCTAGCAACGACATATTGTGTTGGCACTTTGGCAGGTGACTGTTTGCGACCTTGCCGCAAGATTGACAGCATTGGGCTTTGATGGTGACGCCCAGCATGCAGCTGTACAAGCTGCTAGGCGCTTTCCGGTCATATCCGGTATTATCCGGTCATGTGTTCCAGATTTTCCATGGTTTCCCATTGTTTTCCATATATCTCTCTGGCCTGCATGCTCAGATGCGACCGTGGCATTGGCACCAAGATTTCAGCCCAAAAGCTGCTGAAAGTGTTGACAACAAATACGAAACAACCTGTCGTCGATCAGGGAGGCGGGGCAGCGCTGGGCTGGGCAGATGAGAACCAAGGCAGTATCAATGCTTGCCGGTAGATCAAGTTGGAGAATGCTGGATCCAAATATTAGTCAGAGATGTGAGACGACACAACGCCGCACCACAATATACCACAATTCTGCGAGTGGTTGCCAGATGTTGCTAGACTGAAGTGACTCAGTTGTTTGACACGCTTTGGATCTGCAGCTGGTCCCAACGAAGGCACAGAGGTTCTTAGGAATCATGAGGAATCTATACGAAATCTACGAATCCATAGAGTCCTGCTCCAGACTTCAGACTTCGTGACTCTTTGTGCCCAAAAGGCGCAAGATGTGCTGCTATGGCGTTGTCTCCGACGTGCTTCCTTCGAAAGAAGTCCAGTGCCTTGGCCTCTCACCGTGGTCATCGGCCAAGTCGTCATTCATCGTCATTCCCAGTATTTCCAAAGTAGTTTGCTCATGTTTGCTCTGGAAAAACATGAAAAAAACTGGAGTCTGGAGTCGGATCTCAGGTGCTCTTCCGAAGCAGGCAGCGGCCAAGAGGAAGGTAAAGAAAGCACCCAGGCTGCAGGACAGGATGACAGGATTGGTGGGCAAGTTCTGTAAGATCAAATCTTGGCTGCAAGAAATGTAAAGCAGCAGCATCAGCAGCAAGCTGTGTGATGCGTGGTATTGCATGGTCCATTGAGGTACCGACGCAACCCTGGAACAGCACTGTTGAGAACCTGTGCAACTCGTCATGGGCTCAGCTGGGTTTTGTGGCTAGGTGCCAAGTTTACCTGTTCGCGGCGATCGGTCAAAAGCACATCCCAAAATGCACCAGTTGAAGTAAATTCGGTGGGTCAAGGAGATGGTTCAGGGGTGTACACAATCCGAAACACTTTGCCAGGTTTCAAAAGCAGCAGGAATACAAAAATTCGCACCAGTACAGTGAATTCACTCCGAAGACATCGAATGATTGAAACCAGGCACATGTTTTGTAGGCCTGCACACGTGAGAGTCGGGACTTGCTTCTCCGCAATATTAATTAAGCGATACAAGGTATTCTAGGCTGTCAGCATTTGGCATGCTGCTTCTGCAGCAATTAGCCGCTTAGCCCTAGAATCTGCTGGGAGGGCAAATTTCCAATGTATGCTATAAATATATATATATAATATTATATAATATGATGTAATATGTGTGTGCGTGTGTGATATGTATAACATTGTATAACTATACAGTATACATTTTATAGAGCTGTAGTCACTGTAGTCAAAGCGGAGGTTATTCAGCAGTGGTCAACAAATATAGAGTGTGCAAATTGACATTGTGACTTCGAATACTCGATGACAGCGTGGCACTTGTATCGATGTATGGCACTTGGACCGCATACAGCATGCTGCATGATGAAAGAGCGAAAGCTAGTGAAAGGCAAAATAAGAGAAAGCAAGACCAATACTGCAGACCCAACATATCCGAGATGATTTTGAACAGCAGAAACTCCGACATTCTCACACTGATAGCACCAAGTTTCCCAAAAAGATCAACAAGCATTTGGTAGCATTGCAGGGAAAAGGAAGAGGTTTTGTCAATGCAAGTGCCCCACAAGTGTAACCTAGCATCAGAAGGCTAAGTGGCTTCGCATGAGGTCCAAACTTCATCCCAGTTTGCGGTTTTACTTCAACGACTTTGACCCGCAGCACCAGGAGCAAAAACAGGACCGGACCATACGGGACCCCATGCTGCCACCAGTCTAGTGCCGATTTCAACGTCTCCAGCTGCACAGATTTACACAGATTGGTCAGGAAGCTGTGCGGGCAATGAAGGAAGCTGCTTTGCTCCCAGTATGTCCCAGCTGCCATTCAGAAATCGTTCAAGCATCATTCAATCCAACCAGAAACCAGTATCATTCACACACACACACAGTGTACTTGTACATATATATCCATATATATATATATAATTATATATATATCTCTCTCTCTCTCTAGTTCAAGCGCATTTTACAGCAGTGAAGCAACACAGCTTCAGTCCTTCAATCATTCCAAGGCAAAGACTTCTTCCAGGTTCTCACCACCAGCAAGGAGGCCCCTTTGAATTCCCGAGATTTATGACGTTTCAAGACATGTCATAGGACGAAAGTTTTTGAAATGGTGCATTCGTGCGCATTCATTGCACAGGAGCTCGCAGTCCAGCGTCAGGTCATCACGAAGTCTAACTGCCGGAGTCGCAGTGCTTCCCTTCTCAAACCAGTTTGCAAACACACTTTTGATTCACCGAGGGTTCGCTGCGACCTTCCTGGCAGAGCGGCCATCAAGCGGAAAGTGGAGATACGCCCAAACCACTCAGGTTCGATTTCAAACAATCCAAGTGGCCAACTTCGCTCTGTCACTTGATGTCACTTGATGTCACTTGCCTTGTGCAGGAGATATTTCGGGGAGCATGCGCAGCACAAACCTGTACGGGAAGAAGTGCACAACATCCTGCGCAGCCGAGTTGCTGCAACGAACTCATTGACTCCAACAGGCGCTGTGCATCCGGATGACCTCCTCCTCCTCCGGGTTTTGACAGGTTTTGACCAGCGCAAGCATTCAATGTTCAATACTAAGATGATCTAAGATGAAAAAGACCATATGAAAGAGGTTTGCGAGATTTTGCGAGTATTTAGAATTATTTAGATAATTTAGATATCTCAGCATTCGAAAGCACCAGTTACCATAACAGTTCAAGATGTTCAAGGTAGCCTCAGCATCTTACCTTTCTGCAGTCGATTCATTTTGAATCCTGGGCTTTGGAGGCGATGTGGATCAGAGGTCGCCAGCCGCATGGTTGCAGCCTAGATGTAGCCAGGTCATCCCAAGTCTAGCCAGGTGCTGCACCATCGAGCACCATGGTGCCTCCAACTATGGATAGGAAATGATAGGAACGGGCAGTACTCCAATTATTAAGTTCCAATGTTTTTAGGATGGAGCTTGGGAGATGTCCAGCAAAGTGACAACTTTGAGGCCTTTTTTCGGGCGAAATCTGTTGGATTCTGAGTGTCAAAATTGCACTAGAGATTGTTGTAGCACGGAAGTGCCAATGTGCAGCACTTCCTGACGGGTTCAAAAGAAGCTCCTTTTAATGCAGTGTCACCATTGTACGATATCTCTGTGGGCTGCCCAACGACTCGTCCTCAAAATCCTCGCATTCTCCTCTTGATGAGCTTACATTTTTTAGGAGTTTAGGATTGTTTGAGTTCTGAGCTGAAGCTTGCTCCCGTCATGTGGTAATGATGTAAGAAGGTCCAAAACTTATACAATACTAAACAGTGATTTGTGGCTTGAGTTGGTTGGGCAGACCTCAGACATTATGTCAAGATCTGGACCACAGAGAAAAGGTTCGGTTTGAATGCCATTCTTGCTGAATCTCATGTCAAAACAGGTGCTCGCATTTCAAAGAAGCTTTTCTTGCAATACAACAACCACCGATATCACCGATGACCCACTGACCAGACGATGATCTGACTGCATACACTTTTCCAAAGGCAGCCCTGCCCCGGCCTCGGATTTTAATTCAGATCATTTCAGGCCCGTGCAATTCATCCCTTCATGGGGGAGGTATATTACATAATTCAAATAATACATAAATATAGTAATATAGTTGTATTGTGTATTTGGGTGTCCCATTTGGGGGGTGCCGCAGTTTCAAAATCTGGAGGCCAATTCCATTCCATGGTTTATCATCCTTTTCCGCTTTAAACTTGCTGTAAAGGAGCGGTGAACCTTCCATTTTGAGACAACCCCAAATAATATGATCTTTTTTGGGGCTATATATCCAACTAGTTCCAACTATATATATATATATAGAATCACATATATGTAAAATCAAAATATATATATATACATATGATTATACATACATGTGATTATATATATATATATATCTGTGTGTGTGTGTGTCATGCCAATATAGCCTATTGTATCGCATCATTGTTGGTTTACCAAAATGTTACGCTAGAAGCCCATGGTTTGACATAGCAAGGCGCTGTTGGTCCTTTCCGCTGTGAGGACTCCTCCGCCAACAGTGCCGGAGGCCACCTTCGAATCAAAGCCGGACCCAAAGCCTACCTGGCCAGGCGCAGAGTTTCTGTTTCCAGTGTGATACGACATGATACGACAAATTATAAATATATATATATACAGTAACAATAGGTATAATAAATTGAATGCATTGTGTTGATATATGTGCACATACATATATATATATATATATAATTTGATGTATACATGTGTGTTTGTGTGTGTGTGTTGGTTTCTGTGTGTGATCGTATTCCCATACAAACACAATGACAAAGAGTTTATTTTGAGAAAGAGTTTTACCCCCTCTGTTCATCCCAATCGTATTCCAAGACCTACCCGACACCATTTCCCTGAGTGAAAGCCATTTTAGGCTCGCAAAGTGAGTCTGAAGACGATGTAGAAGGTGGTTCAGGGAAGCAATTCACCAGGAGGTTGCACCCTCAGAGTGGTCAAGCGTTGCCTTCTACGAGCCTCACTGGCTGCAGAGCACAGCTGCTTTTGGGGCATATGCAGTCGTCAAAGGTATTCATGGAGTGTGGGGCCCTTACTGCCTGAAATGCCCATGATATGCGAAGATCTCCGATGATTTAAGAAAGACTTCACAGTCTACAGCGTGTAGTCATTGTAGTGCCGTCCAAGGAATATCCAACAACGCCACTTTTCTTGGAGACTGCGGCCAACAAGCCCAACGTGCGAATCCTCAGTGACTCACCCTGTGGCGTGGATGGCGGAAGGGATATGCTGATGTGCTTCACTGATCATCACAGGCACCTGGTACTGAGCCGCGCATTGGAATCGATATTGGAGGAGCTACACGGCTGGCAAATGATGAAAAAGGAAGGGACATTTTCGTTGGTTATTGTTTTTTTGCTTTTCTTGTATGCCTATAAATAAATAGATTATATAATACATTTTTGGGTATATTTATAAGTACAGTCATTTTTACATACATATATTCGTACATGAATGAGCAGATAGGTAGCACTCTCTTATACCAACCTCTTGAAGTGGTGTGGCATTTGTTCAATAATCCGCCTTGGATTCTGACATCGACCTATCGACCCCAGATCATTTTTTATTTGCTGACCAAGGTCCTCACCCGAGAAGGTGATCCCAGGTACAGGGGATCTTATGATGAGCCGGAATCCCAGTGGAATCAATGTGGAATCTGCGGATTGCTGGCATCATATCAGATGGATTCAGATGGTATCAAGTGATATTGACCTTGACTAGTTTTCATTGCAGGGTACGGCTGGGAAAAAATAAATGTATTATTATGTTATATTATATTATACTATACTATATTATTTATATATATATGTGTGTGTATGTATCGTTTACTCCTAGCATTTTTGAGGTGGGATGCTAGCTGGGAGGCAGATGGAGCATTGGATGCCGCCCCTGGCCTCAGATTGTGGTGATCAGAGGTAACCAGTGCCACATTCTGACAGACCCAACTCCTGACCACAATGGTCGCAGGGGCGAAGATCAAGATGAAACAAGATGAAGCAAGTGTAAAGTCACGTGCTGCCTTTGCGTTGTGGAAAAGAACAAGTGACTTCATTCGGCTGAGGTGAAAAAGATCACCCAAGTCTTCGGACCATCTAACACCTTTCTTGTCAGCAAGGCTGGCATTCCCATCTCGCATCATCTCGCACCATGCCTTGCATGGCACTCCACTAGCATCACTAGCAGGTTCGACCTGGTGGACGTATGCATCGGAGAATGGAATTGTCAGATGCCAAGGAAACTATAATAATTAAATGTAATGAAATGTAACTAACTAATGAAGCAAGGGGCCACTTGTGCAATCATGGGCACAATGCCCAAAAGATCCACAAGCACGGGTGGTATAATTGTTGGCAAGAAAGGCGAGACGTTACGCACTGGAGACATCTAGATACTATGATGGCTTATTCTACAGGCAAGCGAGTGCATGCAGGAGACGGACGGCACGGAATCAGTCATGAAGAATCTCAAGAGGCGTAGGGAAAAATTAAGAGAGCAGAGAGGTGCAGAGAGCGGAGAGCGAAGGAAATCAGCCTTTACCATTTATTTCATACCCATGATGTTTCAATATCTCTCCGGGATCTGGCGGAACTAAGGTGGCTCCATGAGACAATCAACTTCTGTGAGGCCGAGTCTGGTAAGATTGCTGGTTGCCGCGAGCCTTGCTGGTGTCGGCAAGACGTGTTCTTGAAAAGGGACTCTCGGCAGGTGACGGGCCTCCCAAAGGAAAACATAATTTTCGTTCGGACAGTGGATGGGTCCGAGCCTCTTCCACAACCAGACCGTTGGTCATATGGTCAACTTATTGAATCCAGTTACGAGCAGCTTCGCATTGGTTGCTTCAGGCCTACGGGGAAGGGAGTTGCCTGTCAAAAGCTTGGCATTTCCCACTTTGTCGATGACAAAATTGAGGTCGGCCCGCAGATTTGTTATTCCGTTTGGCTGTGCGTTACTCTTCGGGTGCCCAAATATCTTGCACGCTCATTGCTCATGCTCTATGTTCTCTTAAAGGTTGTGTTCTAAACTGCTCTTGGTGGTTTTTTTCATCTTCGATCACTGCTCTTGGTTGTATCTCATTTTATTCATGCGTCACGTCCTTTGCTTGCTTGCTACTGTATGTCTTGCTGCTTGCAAGCCCACCAGCTTGCTGTACCGTAGGTCCTCCAGTCGGTCTTTGATGATGAGGTTGGACAGATTGGTTCGTGCTTGTTTGTAATTGTCCATTTGCATCCATTTACTAGAAAGCATGCACATGCTTGTGAGCTGTTCTCCTCTTGAAGTGCTCTGTGAATCTCTGTGACACATTTTATTCCAGATGTGCCTATATGTGCCTATTTTCCGCATCTCGCCATGCCATTTCATCAAAGGCTCAAGGCAAAATCCTCTGCCAATGGCGGAGGTTGCTACAGTGCCACATCGGGAGGGGCCTCCTCCGCTTTCCCTGCCAATTCCCAGCCGAACAGCGGAGGTGTGTTGCTTTCTATGTCTTGTTGGGGTTGGACAACCTAGATCGATACATCTGAATATGTTGTAAATTGATGTATTTGTATTAAATTGTTAACATATTATAAGTGTTCTATCAAGCACATTGGATTGCACTTGTTGTTGCATTTTAATCATTTATCGTCGTGTTGGAAGCAGGCCCATGACTTACCACAGAGCCAGTCCAACCTCGAACAAATCATGGAGGAAGCTGCAACTTTGCACAGCCAGTCTCTTGGCTTCAGTTGCTGCCTGATTAAACATGCACAGAATTACCACTTCACGGTGCCGCATAGTGGACGAATATGCCAGAAACAGCTTCGCATCATGATATTTTGCAAACCATCTTTCTGGAGGACCTTGAATTCTCAGCTGCTTAGGCAAGTAGATCTTAGGTGTCAGGTGCTCATGCGTTGTGACACTCTGCGACTGCGACGGATTCATAGATACTCCTGAAATTCAATGAAATTCAAGGGTTTCAATGGCGGCATGCATTGGGAAACATTGGGACTCAATAGGAAACAACCCGAAACAGCATGAACAGAATTGTCTCAACTCGGACAATGCCAACATTCTGAAGATGCTGAGATCCAGATGATCCAGCGCTAAGGTCCTTGAACGAGGATTTGGCACAGCTGCAGGTCTCCTTAGAAGACGAGCCAGAAGAATTCCAAGCGACCAGCCTGATCAGCCTGCAATATCTCCAATGTTGATCAATGTATATCAATGTTGCATATGTTGCCAATGGAATGCCAATGGTGCTGTTTCTGATTGTTTCTGTTTATATCTGTTTATGGTTTGCAGTTGCTGGATGCGCATCGTGGAATGTCTCGAGGCGATTTTGCGACCAATCTTTGGCTGCAAATTGGGATTTACAGCATTGAGCTTAGCGGCTTAGCGGCTTAGCCTCCGATCAGTAAAGCCAACCAGGCTGAGCTGTGCATTATGATCAAACCATATCAAACCGCCATAAACCGCCCTGAGGTCATGAGATTTGGACAGGGCCTGATGGTAACAGCTGTCCACGAGAGAGGTGTCGTTGCATCATGGAACGAAGTTCACCCGATGCGATCCGTAGAGGACTGCCGCAATTCCCATGCTTTGTACAGTTGTAACGGTTTTTCTGCATGACATGTCGACGGACCCGCCCTTGACCACAAGATATCACAATTACATACAATTACTACTTGTATTGACATTGTATTGCTGATACTTGCTAGTGTAGTCAAGTGTAGTCTCACCCCGTGTCATCGTGTGGCACTGAGCTTTTTTGTATAGTGGCGCACTGCGCAAAGTTGCGCACTGAGTTGAATGTTGGGCCCCCAGCTGCAGCAGTATGCAACAGTCACTCCAGGAGCGCGATCTCATTGTCGAGATCAATGGTGCTGCTGAGTATTTGAACATGATACACCATTTGCGATGTTCACCAGTTCTGGTCATGAAGATTCACCGCCAGGAGACCTGCCAGCATCAGCTAGTTGCAACGGATTTCACATGATTTTGGTATGAAGTATCAGTGAGTTGTTTCGCGTGAAACTCTCGCAAACGCAAAGTACTGAGAGGAGCCGTTGAAGTTCTGCTCTTAATTTCTTTTGCAGCTTCCAAATCTGCTAATGACCATCGTATACCATGGTTTCACAGCAGCCCCCTTTGTTCGACACACTCGAGGTCAAAGCCACTTCCACAACGGGCGCAGTTTGACCCTAGGTCGGGCAAAGAAAGCAGAAGCATCGAAGTGATGGACCCTGGGATTCGAAGCCAACTTGAAAGATCTTGAAAGTGCATTATGTATCATTATTTGTTTCATAATGTTATTGTCTCTTCCACCCAATTTACAAAAATTGATATGCAAATTGCATTTGCTTAGTTCCGACATTTGTTCCATAGCGCGCAGTGGCGCAGTGGCGCAGTGTCTGAGGAGTCGAATTTGGCTTTGCGTAGTGTCACTGAAGGTGCAGGCCCACACTCCGACGAGGTATGGAGGGCAGCAGCAGTTTGCGCTGTGGAGCACTTCGTGCAGCAGGAGGTCTTCTTCCTGGGGCTGTACGGCTACAAAGTGCTAACCAACAAGATGTGGAGCCCCTTGAGCATGGGCAGTTTGAAGCCAACTCTGGGCATCAACGTGTGTCAGCACATCGAACAAGCAGGCCATACCTGGTACATTCTCGAATGCGAAATAATGGCCATCACCGATCCCCCAGTACCTTGTGCAAACTACAGCCATTACATGATTGTACAGTACATGATTATTATGTACTTTTTTTTTCTATGTTTTGACTGTTTTGCCTCATTTCATGGTAAATTGCGGCAGCTGAGGAAACACCGAGATGGGAGGCTCCAAGACGACTGTCACAGTTGCGAGGGGAGCTCCACGACCGAATCAAGTTCAGTATGGAAATCAATGAGTACAGAGCAATTTTCGATGACACGCCCTTTGCACACTCTGGTGGAGACTTGAAAGCAATGTGTACCATCCATTTCCTTCCAAGAGCAGAGTCAAGGGTGATATGTTGATGTATGTATATGTATATATATATATATATTATAATTACAATTGTAATTATATATATATAATATGTTTATATAAATATGGTGTTGTACATGAATATATGATATATATATAATTATATATGCTATTATATATAATTATATAATATATTTATATATATATGTATATAATGTACATACAGGAAGGTCTTCTTCCATGCAGCCTATAACACATAAGTTTTGACAACTTAGGGCCGAGTGGCACAACAGCGCGGTTGTGCAACTGGCTGCGTCGTTTGATCGCTGCGATCAACAAAACCGAAGTTTCGCCCGCTATAGCTGGCTTGACTCTCACGTTCCTGCACGCTCCGCTTCTTGCCGCGACGAAGCTCTCAATCCTGTTCCGGGTGTTTTCACATGAGCTCAATTGAGCTCACATATGTTTTCATGTCTTGTGAACATGTTAAGATAAATGGTTTATATAAATATGTTTAAATACTTCTATGCTACGTGTTGTTTTTCGCATTATTGCATTCTGTTGATTTCTATTGTTTGCCGTGTGCCTTTCGTGTCCCGTGCGCTGTGAGCCCAGGCTACCAACAGCAGAGCCACCGGGGAAATCCAAATAAAAAATGGCGCAGCTGCCATCTGCCCAGGGACTTGGGAATTTTGGGTCAGCTGGGCGAGTTCCACCATTCCCTGCCATTCCTAGTGGCCCTAGTCTGATGTCCACCGATGTCCATGGTGCAGGCTGGCAACAGTCGCATTTTGGTTGAGCGCCATCAGGCCGTGCCTTCAGGAGAGACTCAAGTAGACTCTGTGAACATGAAGAATTTGAAGAGCCATGCCATAGCCCCGTGTCAACCAAGTGTGAAGTTGGCACAGGGGCTGCTGTTCCACTTCTCCAAAGGAGGTTACTCACAGGCTCTGGATGCTGAAGATTTTGGTAAATGTTGTTGTCAGTGTTTAATATAAAGTTTAATACTTTAGTTGTTGCCAATTCTTTTCTCACGAGCTTCTGACATTGATGCATTGGCACTCTGGCGGTCGTGGTTCAAGCTCCAAGCTTGTGCTCCTCGGGGGATATAACATGAAGCGTGGCTCATCAAAAGCTCAACGCATGAAATCATGTGAATGTTGATGGTAGCAACGGGACCACAGACAAAACCAACATTTTAATGAGGCAAGTTCAGCAAAAGGGAAACCACGCAGACCGCCAACGTCTCTCTTTGAAGCGGTGCCATGAGCAGATGTTGAAGTTGGAGGCCTTGACTCTGGTGCTCTGCTTCCATGGCGGTCATGCAAAGAACATTGATGGCAGGCATCAATTGCTGCCCAACTGCCCAACCGGTGCCCCACGGGCGGTTACTCTGTTTGACCGGACTTGGTGTCAGTCAGTGCCCTCCCGTCCCCTATAGTCCCCTGATCTGGTTCTCCAGATGAACGCCCACCCTTTGAACAGTCACTGCTTTGCCGCGGGAATCTGGCTCAAGCAACACTAAGCTAATCTGAAATGATCAAGCTTAAGAGCATCCTTGGAAAGATGTAGTTTCCGTTTGAAACCTGGGGATCATGGCGGACCTCGCAAAAGAAGAGGTGTCTGAAGCAGAAGAGCCGAAGAAAGGTGGAGAAGGACCATCAACTTGTCATGAATTGTCAAAGTGTACAGGAACTTATAGTATCAGCCGATATCATGTGACATCATATTCATGTATATCAATGTATATCATATATCAGTCAACGTAAGAGCATGTACCAGATGTTGTTTCCAATCATAACTATGCATACGTGGTCATACTTGAGACATTTTGATCCCGGATTCAACCAATCTTGCAGGATACGATGCGCTTGCCAAACTTGGGGTTCCAGCATCCTTGGGAGAACGTATGTTGCAGCTTGACTTTGCTTGACTTATTCTGATGCTGATGCATTTTCAGAAGAAGGAAGTGCATTTCGATGCATTTCGTTATCGTTCCACTGTGTCCTGTCAGAGCTTTTGAGGTTACAGGCCCCAAGACCCCAAGTTGAAGAAGAGCTCCCCGCTGTCATGCGCGCCGAAGAGCAATTGACGCGACTTGACCGGGAAGTAGTTGGCATATGTTGGTGGATGACACCAAGCAAAGTCATGGATCCTTGTGTATATATAATATGTTTTGGAGAGATTGGAAGGGGTTTGGATCTCTGAAAACTGATGGCTGACAGCAGTTTGCTTGCTGCATGTTTTTGCGAAGGCGGCTGATATGTTGAGGTACAACCCGAGGAAGTATGACTTCCGAAGCCATGTTGCCTCCTTGTTGCAGTGGGCTGGGCCAAAGATTGGTTTCGGATCCTATGGGAGCAGCGAGGAGCTTGAGCTCTTTCAAGCCAAGGAGGTGCGCCAGAATCATCAAAATTGTTAGCTTTGATGTTTCTTGGAGGTTTTTGAGTATGGGGATGGGTCAAGACATCAAAACCTATGCTTTCCATTGACTTTCCTAGTTGGAGATGAAGATCCATTTGCCAGTGATTTTGATGTCACCAGAGATTTTGAGGTTAGATCTGAACGGAAGGGCTTTAGAGTTCCGTACAGTTGTCTCCCGGTGCCAGGAAGTCTTCAGCTCGTTCAAGTACGAGAAACGCCCGAGGCTCAAATATTTTGATATATATATATATATAATGATATATATATATATACACACGTATGTGTGTGTACTTGTTATAAACTTGTTTAACATACATGACCATACATGCACAACAATGCGGCAATGCAACACAAAAAAGAAAAAAGAAGCTGATTGGATGTGCTTGGCGAGGGTGAAAGATTTGAAGGTGACAGTTACGGCACGGGGAATAACAGCCTTGTAGCCTCTGTAGCCTGATGGAATCGTTTTGGCGTGTGAGACATGACTCATCATGACAGCTGAGGCTGGAGGCATCTTGGCAAGAATGGGTTAAGACGCGATTTGGCACAAGACGTGTTTAGCAACAACCTGTTTCCGGGCTATTTTGTTGTCACCATTTTGCAGTTCCATGACCAGCTGCACAATCACCAGGCAATGTATCCTGGACAGCTCGGACTTCTTGGCATGCTACGAGCTTCTGCTGAAGGAAGTCATTTGCCCTCACTTGAAGTCCAATCTGATCGAGGAGCTGTCACAGACATCACAGCCAAACAGCTACACAACAGACAGTATGTTAGTATATCATGTATATCACAGCATCATACTCCGCAAAATTTGATCACTTCACCTGGCTGATATCCTTTGTGCCTTCTAATGTGCCATAGTTTTTCGTAACAGGAACACCTGTGTGAAGAATACGAAGAAACGGCGTTTTTCTGCCAATTTCCCCCGACTTTGCGGCTGCAGCCTGGTCCTAGTGAACGGCCCCGACGCCTTCACAGGGATGCGGAATTTGGGCACCAAGCAGCAGCCCCAGATTTTCAGCAGATAATTTTGGGATGAATTTCAATAGGTCTCTTCCTGCAGGTTATATATCGCTATTACAACATAACTGGTTCATTATGGCACGTTGGCAATATTGTCTACGTTCCGCACCTTCTCAGCTTAAGGATGGGGAAATCAATTTCTGGATGCCGTTGACGGACTACAGCCGCACACAGACGACCCTTTGGGTGGAGTCCGGGCCAAACACCGGAGATTTTCATCCACTCGCGTTGGATGTTGGGAGAATTGCCATGTTTCATGGGACCTTGGTGCGACATTACGCCCCACCCAATCCAACCAAGTGCCTGAGAGTCTCAATGGATTTTCGGGTGGGCATTGGAAAATACTATGACCCTGACTGGAAATTGGAGGGGTTGCAGCACTACCACGGCCGGCTCAAGATTGTTCTGTGAGGACAAACAGCAGGACTGGAAGGGATCTATCTCTCTCATGGCGTAGAACGAACGCGTTGTCCTTGAGCATCGGGCTGGAAAACTGCACCCATGTCAGTCTGCAGAGCGCCCGACGACACTACGCACAACTCAGAGAGCAATGATAGCTCAAAAGAGATCGATGTCAATGAGAACGAGGGCACCAGCCGAGATGCTGACAAGATGCGGCGTCCACATTTGGAACCAGGTGGCGACATCGCAGTCTCAAAATAAGTCGCGCTGTGTGTTGATGGCAGCCATGTTTCTGCAACAAAGTTTAGGCTAGGGTCGCGACAAACATTTGCAGAAGTGAGGCCGAACCAGGCCATACAACATACTTCAGAGATCTTCAGAGTAAAAGTCACAGACCCCAAGGCTGAGTGATGCTGAGTGCTTGAGAACTGGGTGTTGTCTTTGCTGGCTGTCATGGGCTCATTCTTTAGACTATACAGCATGAAAGTGATGCCAAGAAGGACATCCCGATATCAAACTGAACCTGTGAACTTGTGAACGAGAGTACGTAATGCCCAATGCCAGACCAAATAGATAAATAGGACATCATAGGAAGTGACATGAGGGCACAGCACAGGGTTTTGGTTGTGAATACCTTTGACTTTGCATCCACATTATTCTTCAGACTTGAGCTCACACACATTCTATTTGAATGTATTTGGTATATTCTCGGATGTATTCTGCGGAAGCTTTCCAAAAACGAGACAGTCCTGATTTCATGTCACCATGGCGGCTTGCAGCTCCGTCGCGGAACCTGTTGCGGTTCAACCAATGGCAGTGCAGCCAGTGGCAGTGCCCAAACCAGTGGCTGTTCCCAAACCCATGGTGGTCACCAAACCAATGGTTGCTGAGTTGCACGGAGGATGCTTAACAAACAACACATCACGATACGCTTTGGGGAAAAGTGTACCAAAGGGTCGTGCCATGTCGTGCCATGGCACCCACAATGGCATTTCATCCTTAGATTGTTGGGATCCACATCAACCTATCATCCTTCAGGTCCTGATGTCCCGCCGCAGTGATGCAGTGATGTTCGATCCTTTCACCTTGCCGAGGTTGCAGCTCACCAGCCAATGCCCAAAGCTCACCAGCCGCTTCCAAAAGCCCGTGGTCGTCAACTTCGACTGGTGGCGACTCCTGTGCCTTTTTTTAAAAAATGCGCACCAAGACAGCGCTGGGAAAGCGAACAATTGTTCTGGACTGCTTTAGACGAATTGTGTTAAATTGCTCCATGACTCTGTGCTTCGTATGATTTGTGTAGCACTGTTATGTGCGCATATACATATATATATATACACTATATTTATATATATATATATATCATATATATCTTGAGACAGCTGTTCTTGGAGGGCAATTTCTTTTTTGGCTGAAGCAACTCAGGATGTCTAAGAGGTCTATATCATTATATCATATTATATCAATCTATATCAATCTATCATTAATAAAATCAACAAATCTATATGCACAATATCTTAACTCTCAGGTGAAAGCGTCGGAGCTCATTGCAGAGGCAACAGAGGCAGGGTTCACCTTGTTGTGGCTAGGATTTCTGAGGCCTGGAGTGAGACAAAGAGTGTCAGAAGACTGAAAACATCTGAAAACAGTGAGGCAGAAAACTGCTCAAATCTGATCCAAAAAAAGATCAAAAAAAATCATTATAGATTGTGACAGATTGTGTGATATTGTACACCTCTCCCTGTGCCAACCGGGATGCATAAGATATCATAAGATGATAAAATATGATTAAAAAAATGTAAAAATATGATAAAGATGCCAAGACATGCCAAGATACTAAAAATTTCCAGCTTTCACGTCTCGCCATATCTTGCCCATTCGCTTTGGATTTCCATGCGCAGGTTCTGCAAGGGCGGCCGAACACGAGCCAAGCTTCAGGCCATTCGTCGGCTCCAACGCCATTGCGGAAGCCGGAAGAGTCCGGTGCCGAAGGCCTGGGATTCTGTGGTCCGATGTGGTCCATGATGGGGGGATGAGAATCCAGCCAGCTACTGTATTTTGGTGTGACCGAAAACCTGGAGTCGCCTTACGCAATGGTATCACATGGTTCACTGGTCAGCTTATGCAGATATGACATGGATGTTTAATGATGTTTATATTTCACAGTGTTTCATATCACATTTGTGGTTGCCAGCATTTGCATGTGCAAATGTTGTAAATGTACTCTATCTTTTCGTGTGCGTTCCTGGGTTCGAGGCAGTAGCTCCAGGTCTTCAACAGCTCGGTCCAGATCACAGGCTCCACCAATCCATCCGATCCTTTTCACTGACAACAAGAAATGATGATCACCCGGCAATGTAATATAATTTCTCTGAATTGTACTCTTGGCTCACTTTAATGTATTTTTTGTATCTCGGTTTGTCCAACGTTGGATTATCTAATGTACCACGATCTGCTGTTCTTGAGTCAGGGCGCAAAACAGCCGGCCATGTACTGGGCTCAGTCAAAATGTGCGTTTTTTTGTACAGAATACAAGAGGTTTTCAAACCACGTGCTGCCCAAGGTTTGCAAGAATAGAGGGCGTTGCGACACAGATGCAGCAGGAGCTTGATGAGGTTAAGGCTTTCTTCGATAATTGCCGGGCGCTCTGGAAACGCAAGGGATATAAAGATGGCCCAATATCGCACTGTGTCGTCGATATTAGGCTTCGTTTCAGTGCACACCCCGAAAGTGAAGAAATGCCATTTGCGAAGAGCTAAGGCTGGGACGGAGAGCACAAGGACAAGCCCTTTGACATCCCAGAGCCTTCCAACCCACCCATCCAGCAGCCGCCACAGCGTTTTGTGCATCCGCAAGTCCGACCACCACAGGAGCCCTGCACAAGCAGCGGTTTCAGCAGCCCAACTGGCATAGATGCTACACTGAGGCACCCGGGCCAAAGCATGCTCAACCCAACCCTGGTGTATACAACCGTCCGACATGCTCCCCTAGCAACGCCAAACTGGCAGTGGGAACTGCAAAACCGGAAGTGGCGTGCCAATGCAGAACACATTGTCAAGTTGGAGTGCCCTGGATGAATGCAGTGGGCATAAGATCCACTGCTGTATGTGTTGTTGATGCATGCTTTGGAGTCGGAAATCAAGTTTGCCTTCTTTTCATATATCCTCAGAACTTGGTTTGGATGGTTTGGTTCCATCACCATGTTTGCGAGAGTTTAGGCACTGTCCCCACCTGTTCCTCGGAGTTGCTTCCCAACCAAGGTCAGACTGGGCGCAGCGTGTCAAAGAGGTTGAAGAAGCTGCTACCCGTTCAGATGAGCGAGCTCGTCTTGCTGAGGACTCGTCCGCTTCCCTCCGAAATAGTCCCGGGCAAAAGATGGTAAAAGGGTATTGAAAGATGTTCAAAAGGTGATTGTTGAAAGTAGAAGTGGTGATAGTGTTCGGATAGGCGATGCAATGTCCTGTCAAAGCATGGGGCATGGTGAACGACAGGAAGCTCATGGTCGTTTGCTTCAAGCAAAAGCCGACTTAGCTGATGCTGCTCAGCCGCACCCATGGCACAAGAAGACGGACTAAGACAGTTTGGCCTTATTTGGGGCATAGAGTTTTGCAAGGCAAGAAACAAGTAAGATTAAAATAGCTTGATTCTTTTCTTCTATGAACCAATGCCAACAATGTAGTTTGGCTAGGTGTCACTTCTTGTTCTCCTTTGGGATTCCTGCGGCATGGGCAAGCATGGGCAGGCGGCAAAGACCCGAGAAAGGCAGTTGGAGGCACAGGTTGCCAAGGTGAAGGAGGAGCATCAAGCAGCTGTGGAGGCTCAAGATGCCAGCAAAATCCTCAGCGACCTCAAACCTTTCAACTACATCAACTACATCCCTTAGAGATTTCAGAGACAGATTTCGCTGTGATCACTTTCGTTGGTAAGGTTTGAAGAGGCAGCAGGATGAGAACGAGGATCACGAGACGGAGGTCCAAGGTGGGATCGCAGGATGTTACACTCCTACGCGGTTAAAAGAGGTTCCAAGCTCCGGGAGAGGATCACATGGATTACATTTCCGATATTTTCCGATCACAAATGTGTCTCCATATGTCTCTATGTGTGTCCGAGTTAAGCAGGTCTCCGCCAAGAGGTTAAGACCTTGGAGGATGAGAGAACGCAGATTCTCTCCGAAAGGGCGCCTTGTCTATATGATAATTCTGTATAGATTGATTGATTGATAGATTGGATGGATGGATAGATAGATAGGATAGGATAGCAATGGTCATAGTATCTATAGTCTATACTTATATTTGGTTTTGTTACCCGGTGTTTGGTGCCTTCGTTTGCAGAACCTTGATATCCCCGGAAAAACTTCTGAGGATGTGCTGCGAGAAGAACTTGGCTCGGCTTCCAGAAGCCTTGAGGCGCAGCTGCAGCATGGCGTCGAACTCAAGAACGAATTGGCCAAGTGAGGCTCTCAGATGCTCAGATCCTTCGTTTTGAACTCAGTCTAAACCACACGACAAAAGACCATGATTGGACAGGCACGAGTGATGACAGCCTGAGTTTTGAGGGATGAAGAAGTTCCGTGTCCCTGGGGTCCTGAAAAATCAAGGCTACACTCAGAGCTGGATTGTTTGAGAGAAGAGCGGAGTCTTGGCAGAATACATTCACAGCTGATTGTGGTTGCGATACCTTGGCAAATCTTTGCAAGTGGATTCAAGTGGATCGATTGGATAGAGATTTCGTACGATTTCGTATGATATCGTATCACATTGTCCTTTCTGTCGTGGTGTGGTGTTTCCCATGTTTCACATATGTTCGCCGTTGTGACTCAGGGGCACCTACCAAGATTTGGAGCAGAAATACCGCGATCGCATCGAAGAGCTGCAGGCCGGCTTAGCCACAGCACGGGACACCATCGAGGCCCAGCAGAATCACATGGCGGAACTGATTCGTGGAAGCAAGTTATTACTTTTGCTAATTGTAGTATGTAATAGTATGTAAATGTATGATTAAATCGCAGTCAAAAGATTCAAATACAGGCACACATATGTGTGGGTGTGTGTATGTATGAATGTATGTATGTAATAATGTAATCTAATGTAATGTAAAGATAAGGGCAAGGGTAAGGGTAAGGGTAAGGGTAAGGGTCATGTATGTAATGTAATTTAATGTAGTATAGTGTAGTGTAATTGAATGCAATGCAAGGCAATGCAATGCAACGCAATGTAATGTAATGGTGTGTTTGTATGTATGATTATGTATGCCAATGTATGCATATAATTATATATATACACGTATATATGATGCGCTATAATATTATAGATATATATAAATACATAATAATACATAAATAAATAAATACATATACATTGTATAAATGTGTAAATTTAAGGTATATAGATATACGGTTATGTAAGTTCTTCGGCATGATTTCCATTGCCTGTTATGGGACTGTGCAGCGATGCTGGTAGTTGATAGCAAGAGACACGGATATCACTTGCCGCTTTGAAATGCAGTCATCTTGATCCACTGATCGCTAGCAAACAGACTAAGGAAGAGCTCGATGACAACACTGCCTTCTTCAGAGCAATTGAACAATTCCTGCACTGACCTAGATGAGTCTGGAGAACTCCATCAAGCAATGCAACAAGCGATGGAGCGCTTGCGAAATGACCTGGCAACGGAACAAACCGTCGCAGAGGCCGCTTGAGTGCTTTCTGTTGATGTCAGCACAGATTTTGTGTTCTCCTCATGCAGTGTCACAGTCCATGCTTGCAGTATCATGCAGTAGGTCTAGTCTAATGTTTAATCCAGATTTCGTGGCTAGAAATGAATCGAAGTAAGATGGAGTGAAAGATTCCATAAGTGAGTCACAGATGTTCAATTTTTGTTTGCATCAATTCCATTGCAGGATCAGCGGCGCCTATCTGCGCATCTGAAGCAAAAGGTGCTGAACTTGGAGGAGGAGTTGGGACAATCCCACAGGCAGTGCGAAGAGCAAACAGGCCGAGAATCCAGCCTCAAGAAGCAGTTGAGTCAGAAAGATGCTGCTCTGGCAAAAGCTCGGCAGAAGATTCAGACTTTTGAGTCTCTGAATAAGGACCTGGACCAGGCTGTTGCAGACCTCCAGTTGGATTTGGCAGGAACAAAAAGTCGTGAAGAAAGTCATCAAAGTCGCATGCTGGCGTTGAAGCAGGAGCTCAGTGAGCGCGACTCTGCACTACGCGACCTCAGGAGAAAATCTGAGGCGTTGCAGGAAAGGAAGCAGCGTGCAGAAGCAGAAACAAAACAGGCTCGTGAGGAGCTCCTCTTATCGCAACAAACATGTGAAAGTCTACAAGGCCGCAAAGCTGATTTGGAACAGCAGGTGAATGGATTGGAAAAGGAGTGTGGCAAAATCCCGGAGATTTCAGTGGCAAAGGATGAGATGGAAACGTCCTTAAAACAGCAAATATGCCAACTTGAAGATGAGCTTGCTTCGGTGAAACTAGCTCACAACAGTGACCAGCTCGCAATAGCAGCATTGCAGCAGCAAGTAGTGGAGTTGGAGCGAGAGTTTGGGATCAGGCAAGAAGAGCTTGATGGGCATGTAGCTTCAGGAGCAGCACTACAAGCACAAGCAGCAGAACTCGAGAAGGAGCTTTGCAAGGCAAAAGCACAGCTTGAAGAAGCGTCCGGCGAACAGTCTGCTTTGCAGCAAGCCTTGGAACGGCAGTCGGGGATCGAAGTAGAGTTGCATTCCAAGGCCGGTAGCCTGAAAGCTGCCCTGGATGAAGCAGAAGAACGGCACCGAAGTGACGCGAGCCAAAATCTCGCACTGGAACGTGAGGTGGCTCAGTTGGAAGCCGAAGTTTCCACGCTGCGGATGACGGTCAAAAGCCTCGAGGACAAAACCGCTGCGCAAGATGAATCGCACCAGATGCAGCTGGCTGAAGGATTGCTTTTGCAAAACAAATTGCAAGAGGCAAGCGCTCAGTTGGCTCAAGCCACTATGACTGAAGAAATGCAGCAAGAATTGATATCCCGGCTGCAGGGAACTCTAAGTACGTCAGAAGTTGACTTGTCCCAAAGTCGAACTGATCTTGCAGCCCAGGAGGCTCTGAAGTCGCGCTTGGAAGAGGATTTGGTTCAGGTTCAGACTGATGCAAGTCAGGGTCAGAAGCTGATCAAAGAGCTTAGGTCACAGCTCAGCAAATCAGAGGATGAGCTCAGTGTGGCCAACACCGCCTTCCAAACTTTGCAGAGCATGGAAGCCGAGCTTCGGAAACAACTTGGTCAACGAGATCAGTTGGTCTCGGAATCAAGAAATGAACTCAAGGTGCAGGAGCAGCCTGGCTGGAGAAACAAATAGACGGGACATGCGGACAGGCGCATGAAGAATTATGAATAAAAGATGTAATGATACGATTTATGTGCATATATGTGCATACATGCACACGCGCACGTGCCCACATTCCTGCATTCCATTGATCGTTATAGCATGTCTCGGTGTGTTTGTGTGCATGAGATTTGCATGCATGTCACAAAGAGGTCACGTTGTGATTGTGTGTGTGTGTTTGTGTGCTGGCTTGGGCGTGAGCCCATGCATTGTCGCTATAGTTCAGATGTTTGATGTTTTGAACCTCTCTCCTGAAAAATGTTGAGCGGATAATTGACTGAAGGTGATTGCAGGAGGTTGGCACAGTTCCAATCACACTGTGAGCGAAACCAAACCAGATGACTCAAGGTCATTGGCGAGCCAGTTGGAGGAGCGGCTGAAAGAGACCATGTCAGAGCTCTCCGCAGCCAGAAGTGAATTCTCCTCGCAAGAGCATCGAATTTTGCAATTCAGCAGCGGACTAGATTCTGGGATGATTTTGGATGATTTCTGTCGTTTTCTGAAGTTCTGATTTGGATGGTCATACATACAGTATCATACAGTTACGTGAACAAGAACCCAGCCATACCCAGCCTCATCATATCTCATGTCGTCACCATGTTGACCTGATGACCTGTTGACCTTGGAATACCTTGGATGATGCCCCAGGAATCCTCGCAGGCCAAACTGTCCGAAGCAGAATCGCAGATTCAGCAGCACACGGCGAGGGAAATGGAGCTGGAGCAACAGCTAGCGATGTTGGACAGCTCGTTGGCTGCAGCGCTCTCCGACAACGAGCTTCAAGCCTCAGCAAAGGCAAGGCTCGAAAAAGATACTGCTGCTCGGATTTGATGCTGACCTGGATCTACCTTAAAATCCTTAAAATCCTTAAGTGGATTGATAATGATTTTAATGATTGATAGATATTGATAGTATGCAGGAGTCCGCATCAACTCCGTGCTGCGTTGTCACAGATGCAGTTCCAGCATATGGCACTTGTAGGCTGAGAGATTCTTGTGAAATTAGTTGATATTTCATTTTATATATATATATATATACTGTATGGATATATATATATATATATTATGTTTCATTCCACCTTTTCCAGCACCAGGTTCCAACATGCGGTCGTGGCATGTTGTGGCTCACTCCCAAAGCCATCTCAAACCTAAGGAGGAACTCCAATCCAAGCTGTCCGCGGCTGAGCAGTCGGGAGACCTGCAACGCCAAGAACAGCTCGCGCTCGAGGCTCATCCTTTCACCTGTGAGTGAAAGCATCAAGGTTTCACCTCAACATTTGCTTAGTCCGGTACTGCGGACAATGCAAGATAATGCATCCGTATGCATCCTGCCACAGGAACAAGTGGGTGGACTCCAGTCTGAGCTTGAGAACGTCAAAGCTCTGTGCAACTGGATCTGACATGTTTTTTTTCCACTGTTGCAGGGTCTTTCCCAAGTTCCGATTCATGCCCTTGGTGTGGGACTGGTCACACGGTCTTTGGGCCGCTTGCACAGATTTGTGCCAGTTTGGCGGGTGGCCATACTAAACTGGATCTGAATTCCCGCACCCTCAGGTGACACTCAGAAGAACCTGAAATCCCAACTGGAAGAGCGGTTGAAAGTCACAGATGCGGAGCTTTCTGGAGCACTGAGCAGCGCGAAGGCCTCGCATGATGTGACTTTCTTACGGAGAACATGGGAAAAAAGTTGATTTTGTCTTACTGGCGTTCCAGCTATCCTTCTTTGGCCGTGTTGGTATCGCAGCTGGGTATACCTGAGTGAGTTCATGTACTAGCAGCCTCAACAGATCTTGAGTGAAAGTCTGATGTTGCGAGGCCCACGAAAAGCTTGCCGCGGAGCTCAAGCAGTACTTGCAGAATGCTGAGAGCGAGTTGATGGCAGCTACCTCTGAGACAAAGGCTGGGTTTGCAGGTGATTTTCTACCACAGTTTCACTGTAGATTGTGGCAGAAAGATGTTTTGATGCTGTTGTGGTGGATTTGGGAATGCTTTGGGTGGTTTTGGTGCTTGTCGACAGGACAAGGAGGGTGTCATTACGTTGTTGGAGAATGACAGCAAGGAGGCCAAGGCTCAGGTGGAAGTTCTCTCCACGAAGCTCCTTGAAAGTCAGCAAGCTGTTGAAAGTCACAGCGATCGAGCTGCAGAGCTACAGCTCCGCCGCTAAGCAGTGAAGAACGAACAAAATGCGTCATTGATGACATTTGATCACTTGAATTCACTTGATGCCATTGTCAAGTAATGAAGGTCTGAGTCAATTTAGTATGTTTGTTAGAGGAATCCGGTGGGTTGCGGTGCTATGTCGTTGTTATTCTTACTAGTGGAATCTAGTGTGTTGTGGTATGAATGTCGTTGCTTGTTGTTTTGAGAGGTTTGGAGATGTGAAATGCCTAAGGCATTTCCAGTTTGGAGGAGGAGCTGGCCTTGGCTCGAAAGGAGGGCGAATCCTTGCAAGGAGCCGAGGCTGATTTGAAGACGACGCTGGCGCAGAAAGAGTTCGCCTTGCTCGACGCATTGGCGAGTTCCGAGGCGCGCAGAGCCAATGAGGCGGCACTGCGAAGCGCCCTGCAGAATCAGGAGAAACTCTTGGCAGATGAACGGGTCGCAAAAGATACCGCCGAGCGGCAACTGGTGCAAAGTTCCACGCAAGTGGCAGAGATGCAAGCTGAACTGACTGAGATGCAACTCAGCCGGGATGAACAAAGCAGCCTGAACCAGACTCTGCAATCCCAGCTGAGAAGTAGCGAGGTAGCATTCAACGCCAAGCTAGAAGAAACAGCACACACTGAATCAATTTTGCGAGAGAAATTGCAGGATTCTGGGCAGCAATCGGGCATCATTATATAATATTTATATATATATATATATTTCTATAGATATCAGTATAATCTGATGTAATCTGATGTACTGATGTAAAATGATGTAAAGGTTTGAGATTTCATGTGAGATATGTGAGGTGAAATAGGCTAGAGATCTATGCAGCTTGTGGGCCCTCCCAAGGAACTATCAAGCCAGCTGAATTCCAAGCGCCAGCTTCTTCCGGATCGATCAAATGCAGATGCAGAACCGGAGAATGAGTTCCAGCAGAAGGCATTTGAATGCATTTGAAATCCTTGGATTTTTCAATTCTCAGAAGCTCTCAGGTACAAACATGATCAATCATCACAGTATCATTAGTTATCACATCTCATGCCTCACTTCTGCTGTAGCAGGCAAAGCAGCTGCGGAAACGTATCGCTTCGGCTTTAAGACGGGCAGCGGACGCACATCATGCAACCATTGACTTGGAGATTGCACGTGTGTTGCAGCGAAGAGAGCCAAAGGAAGCCCGGTTGTTTCTTGGTCAAACTGTAATGCAGATGATTCGATGATCGAATGATACGGAATAGCGATGCATGAAAGCCCGCCATGTCCCCCAAGGGGAATGCTTAGGTTTGATCATTTCGAGTGTGTGAATGCCCATCGGGATGTGCAACCCCAACTGGTACATTGAACTTGTGCTTTCCCTCAGGTTTGAGCCCACTGCTGCCGATGGTGGTGAGGCAAGTCTTTCTCAATGTTGTATAATTAAGCTCATGTGACATGTGAAACCAATCACTTCGAAAATGCCAAATACTTATATAATTCAGATCTATTTCACGTGGTACTCTCAAAGGCCAGCAAAGCCATATCACTGCTGAGCAGCGGCTCAGTTTCATGGTACATGTTTGTGGTGTCAACACCATAAGAGGCCATGCGCGTGTGGATATTTTGGGTGTGGGGGTGGGTGGGGGGGTGGGGTGGGATGTTAACGTTCATTGCGACTGCAACCACACAGTACGTTCTCTTGCACTTCCACACATACGTCAAGCTACGCTGCTGCACTTTCTCTTGCACTTCCACACATACGTCATGCTACGCTGCTGCACGTTCTCTTGCACTTCCACACATACGTCATGCTACGAGCCAGAACAGCTTCCTATGCTGATGGTTGCAAAGCTTGGAAAAGAGCCTCCAAACAACAAGTGCCAGAAAAACGCCTCAAATGGCAAAACTTTGCCCACAACCGCAGTGAGTTTGTGAAGCACTTGGGAGGAAGCCCACGAGGAAAAAAAAAAGTTCTTCTTTGGCCGGAACACAGACTTTAGACAGACAGTGGAATTGGTTAAAAACACGATTCCCCTTCCCCGGCAGTTGATTACACATAAACACTGCAGACAAGACTTCAGAAAAATTTGGAAGTACTTGTATGCTGCAGTCTGGCGCCAGGGCGTCAAAGGCGATGTCCTGAACAACCTCGGACAACTTTGTGCTTGAAATGAAAAAAGGAACTTTTCGGCGAAACCATCGACGAACAAAACTCCTGTTTCGTGCTTGTAAAACACTAGATTTTCCACTTTTGAAGTGACCCTGCCAAGGGATTCGCACCAGAAATTTATTCCAGAAATATAAAAATGCATAAATTACCACAGTTTCGGACACTTCCCTCATCGTCCTGGCACTGTGTGATGCCATCACCGACACGGCCTCTTACAGATGCTGTTACCATGTTTGTGTTTCTGGCCTTCCACGAATCTTGTACAGAGGCCATGCTCCAGACCTTGCTTCAACGGCTGTCCACACGAAGATGGCGTGCTTTGGCTGCAAGCAGATCCTGCAGGGCAACCAGCAGGTCACGGTTGATGCAACTTGCATTGCCAGAGGCATTGCTCAAGAGCTGGAAAGCCTCCTGGAGCAAGTGAAGAGTTTGTTGCTCCTAAGAGATGCAGAGCCAACAGGCAAGCAGAACAATTGAACTCAGTTTCATAAAGTCTGTTGCACTGATATTTCTTCACAGCAAGTTTTCTGAGTTTTCTGTGGAATGGTTTGCATTTTAAGACTTGACAGAGCGTACATGGCATGGCATTCTGTCATGAAACAAGTGGGAACTGCGGGCTTCATGGTGCAAATACGTCAGCTTCTGGCAGGTTCTGGATCTGATGTCGGCGAGCAGCTTGGCCAAGTCGTATCGAATCATCATGATAAAGCAATATAAATATACATATATATATATTGCACCATGAAGTACACTAGTATATAATAGTATATATTGATATCATGTTATGATATGTATTGATATCATGTTATGATATGTATTGATATTTTGTTATTATGTCTTACTGATGTTTCATAACGTTGATGAGGCTGGTTGCTGAGCGCTTGGAGCTGGACATCCAACTCATCGCTCGAGAGCTGGTGCTGCTGCGGGCTTCCGGGGCACTGGACGAAGTGCCATGGTCAGTGGTCAAGGTGGGCTTCCGATGGCTTCGAGATCAGATTGGCAAATGGGGTGCGCTATTAAATCACTATTATGACATGACAAGCAAACATGTTGAATGAGCGAATGGACGCGAATGGCCCCTGAATATGGTCTGAAGTTTCAAGTTGAAGATGTTGAAGTGGGTCGCAGTAGATGTCGTGCCTACTTGCTTGGTTTCTGCGTTACAAGGTGCGTGGCAGTGTCAGAGTGAGTGTGTGTGTGTGTGGAGCACGTTTTTTGTGGTGTATTCCTGCGCTGGCAAGGCCCTTGCCACCTTCAGCGGCATCATTTTGCCGAGAGATGGGAAGGAAGAGCAATATCCAATGCACTGGGCAGCTGACCACGGAAGGTGGATGGGCAAAGAGATTGCAGAGCATACTGAGAGCGTCCTGAGTCATTTTTTTGCAGTAATATGCATTAAAAGTTCCGTTCCGTTCGCTTTGGGTGAGCTCTCGCCGTTTTGCCAGCCCAGGCGGGATATCATGGAATTTCTCTTACGGTACCCAGCAGGGGAAGATTTGCTCTTGCAGCGGGATAGCCAGGGACGGATCCCTCTCTTTTACGCGGAACGGGCTGGCAACGAAGCCTAGATGCATTGGTTTGCAAGTCGATGGAGTGTGTGGCATGTCCGGATTTTTTACTAAACGCTTGTCGAAAGATGAGGTGTCAAGCTTTGTCCCATTTCACAAGACAAAATGATTTATCACTGAGGATGCTTTGGCCTTGTACTTGCGAGAGAACGGGCCGGACCTCCACCCGCAGGAGAAAAGATTCAGTGCAGTGTAGGCCTTGAGGATCTTCAAGTGTGGGCATTGGCTCGCATTGATTCTGTCGAACATGTGTTCCGTGATGTTCCGTGTGTTGTTCTCACAAAATGGTGGCCCCCTGGATGGAAGGAGCCAACCCTTCAACGGCCATCGAGCGCCAACATTCCGGCGGCCTACGAAGAAACTTGACATCCAGTGGTTGAGTTCAGAGAAGGCAACAGCATTCAAACACCAGCGTAGACAAAGGGAGAAAATCAAATATCAATAAATATCAGAGAAAGTCCATGATATGCCCATGATGTGCCTCCATTCTGCCCCTGTCAAGGACGTGATCAAGGTAGTTGAGGAGAGAGGCGCTTTCATTCTCGGATGTGCTTGGACGTGAGTTTTGAATGCGTGATGGTTGATTGAGTGTAGCATGCAGCCTCCATTCCACGGAGAGATTGCCTGCTGCGTGCAGGCTGGCACGCAGTAAATTGGATTGAAGGATTCACACTGCTACACTGGGCAGCTGAGAAGGGCCTCGCTGATTTCTGCAGGCAACTGCATCTGAAATTGAGGCAATGCCTGTGGCAACGTGCTAATTTTCTGGATGTACGCTGGTGGTTTCAATGTTGGTGCCGGAATCTGCCTTTCCGATCCCCACTTGGCATGCTAAATCACAACTGGACTTGTGTTTTTGGGGGCAGAAGATGGACGTATGTTTCCTTCATGTTCAGATCCAGAGCTTGACTGAGGTATTTTGTTGCACTGAATGCTGACCCGAACGCCACCGATAGCCGGGGGCAGCCTAGCAGCAGTAGTTGATGGGTGTGGGTGCAGATTTTTGAATAGACTTAGACCCACCCTTCTGCCAACAAATCAGCGATACTTGATGATCAAGGAGTCAATATAGTCAGTGATGGTAGTAATTTTTAGTAATGGTAGTATGGTATGCGCTGAAGCCTAGGCGGACAGCTCTTCAATGTGCGACCGATTCCCATCACAGAGATGCGGAGCTTGTGCTCAGAGAGCTGATGGGGTTGGAAGTGCTGCTGTGCTGCAATAATCTGAAGGATTGGTCAAATTTACTCGCAAGGGTTGAAGGGTCACCTTTGGACACCGTGCGGAAATGTGGATTGGATGATTGGACATTGCAGAATGCGTTTTTGATTGTTTTGTGTTTTATGAATTTAATGTTGTCTGATCTTAACCTAAATTCGTGAATGAGGTCTGACGACACCAGAACCACTTCGAAGGATGATGTTGTGGATTCAGCATGTGGTAGCAAGTATAGATAAGTGCAGTGGTAGCAAGTATAGAAACTTTGCACCTGTACTTTCAAATGTTGCACGCGCATGTCTCTCAATCAAGGTAAGTTGGAGGGTCAAACAATTCATCATATCATGACTTAACATGCATCGGGGTATCCGATGGAGTCATGCCATGGTGTTTCATCCAGGAGCCATATTTCCGGCCCAGAAGTAACAGCGAGGGACCTGAATCATCGCATTGGCCAACCCAATCGCGGAGGGCCACCTGCGTACAAGCTGTCAGGCAAGGTGCCCAAGTGTTGCCAGAAACTCCTCCTGTACACATCTTGAGCCGGGAACTGCGGAACTGCGATGAGGCAGAATCTATCACAATCAGGATCGTCAGATGGCATTCCCGAAGCATATCTCCGTGCTTCAATTGCAAGCAGCTGTGCCATGCTGTGCCTTCCGTGTCAGTTGAAAATGTACTGACCAAACAGCTGCTGTTGGAATGCTGTTGGGCGTGACACAGGTGTAATGCAGCAGATTGACCAGATCGGCTGGGACAAGATGTGCTGGGGACGCGGCTTTACTTTGCTTCATTGGGCTGCCAAACATGCACTTTGGCTGCAACTATACTGGATCTTCATGATGAAGAGCTGTACATCCTGAACTTGATTATAATCTGACATGTACCATCATGTACTGTACCCTATGTATTCCGATGTGATATTGCGTTGGGAGCTCAAGTGCTTTGAGCACTTGAGAAAAGTCTAGTTACTACTGTACCGAGGACAGAGCTGACTTGTGCGAATCAAAGCTGCATTAGTGCCATCCATGCCGTTGCTTGTCCTTTCAGATGCCATTTTTTGTTTTGTGTAGACGGTCGGCAAGTATATTGATGGGTGTTAATTCCCAAACAGATCCCATTTGAGTGACCATTCATAATGAGTCATCTTCAATTCCAGCATAGTTGAAAATTGAACGAAAGATGCAACAGGGAAGAAGATAGAAGAAGCACATTCACTTGGATACTCCATGATACTCCTGGATCTTCAGTCGGGAGTCAGGAACTCTTCTTGTGGCATGGTGCTGATCCCGATCATCGCGATGAAAGCAACCGCTCCGCCTTTGACTACGCTCGTCTTCGTCAGCCACAGGCGCTTGCAGCTCTTGAGGTGCTTCAGAGAGGCTCGGGATGACATGACGGCATGACAATCGGCCATATTCGGCCATGAGATATGACAGATATGACATGCGTTCAGAACTGCAGTCAGAGATTTCTGAGGCAGCATGAGGTTACACAATGTTGGAAAGATTTCGAAAGCATAATTCATTGGTCGCGTCACTGGAAGTGCTTGCCTGGACCACTCTTTGAGATCTTTGAGGCAAGCCAACGCAGAGGCCGACGGTCCAGCTGCCAACGGTTCTCTGCTCGAAAGATCACTTCAGTCCTGTCAGCTCCATGAATCCAATTGATATGTCTACAGAGTCTACACATTACTTACCGTACTGAATAGATACAACATGCTACAACATGCTACCACCTAGACTCATAGAAATTCTAGAAGTTTCTTCCGCGGCTTAGGTGTGAAGAGGAGATGTAAGATGCATCGAGGCTGTTTGCCAGCTCATTGGGACCAAAGACTGTGCCAATGAGCACCATCTCTCAGGACCAACCAAGGTTCAACCTGAAAGCCAAATTATCTCGTTTTTAGAGGTCGGCACTATCCACGTCGCTTTTTGTAGGCAACCTGTGTCGAATTCATTGCACGCAGAGCTGTAATCACAGCAAGGCCAACAATTAGTTGACATTGAGGTCCAATTCAATTCAAAATTCAGCTGCATCCTGCACGAGTGATGCTACTTGCTTGACGCAAATGGAGACCCACAAGCCATGTGCAGCCTGCCCTTTTGGGCTTAAGACAGCGGGCTTAAGAGAGCGGTGGTGCAGGTGAGTGCTTGCTGCGTTTTATGGAGCACAGCAGTTGTATCTGGAGCTCACCACGAGCTTGCAAGCGAATGCCTGTTCTGCAGGACAGCCAGTCGCGCACAAAAAGGGCGGCCCAATTGATGCAATCCCTCAAATCGTTTTTCCTCGCAGAGAAGCCTGTGTCAAATAACATAAATACCTAAAATGTGACTACGCCAGATGTCAACGCTAAAGCATTTGACAGCCTCTTGCTGTAGTGAGAATGTGGGGAAGGCTTCTCGTTGCTTTTGCCGTCCTGATCGAAAAAAACTTGTGCCATTGTTTTAATGTAATATGGTTGCCGCAGTTTATTATTTGTTATATTTGTTGCTGGCAGGCCGGTTGGTATGAAAATGATTGAAATGGCTGCTAGTGTTTGTTTGCTATTGCAGTTGATCATGGACCACCCTCCACCATCCTCCACCCATAGACGGATGAATTCGGAAAACCGTTTTGGTTTCAAATGTTCCAAGGGGCGAAAGATCCGTTAATGGGTCATCAAACCCAGGCCCCAGGAGGCCCGTTTGAATGCATCATTTGGCTTGGCCCATTCAGGTACAGCTTCATCAACTACCAACTCTGCTTGGAATGAGTCTCACTACGATCACTAACTCTCAATCTCCAAACCTTGTATATATTGATCCCGATGGCAAGTCGGATGCATCATGATGCGTTCCTGCCGAAAACAGTGCGTCAGTCATAGCGACTAGTGAAGAGATGTGAAGAGTGTCGATAGCTCATATCTGCATGAAATTCAACGACTGCGGCAAGATGTGAGGATGAACACTTGTCGGTGGATGAGTGCAGGTCCCACCGACAACTGACACAAGCCAGTTGTCTCCAATCATGCGACGACACTACAGGCATTTCTTGTGCGGCGTGCGGAACATTGCTCCTGTGACATCTGTGAACGGTATGAATCTCTATGATCACCATGAAGGGGTTGATTTCAGACTCATGGGACCACCAAGTTGGTTTGATGTTTGGTCATTCGTACAAGAAGGCCATAGAAGGCCCTTCCATTTTGGGGCAATTTTGACCCATTCCATATCCAGGTGGTTTTGCTGATAATGCATGGAACATGGAGAGGGGGGTCGCGCACGTTTTCGCACAAGCGCGGGATTTATCTCTGCGCACTTGTGTCATTTGTGTCCATGTCGCATCAGGTCGGCTGCAAACTGGACACAGGCTGCGGGCGTGAGTTTCGTATGAGTTTCAGATAGTTTCTTCAGATAGTTTCCGGGATTTTCCGGGGTGTCCAATGGTTGTTCATTTTAGTTTTAGCCTGTGAATCATCAGACGATATCAGACTTCCAAGGTGGTGGAGCAGCTGCGTGAAAAATTGCCAGGGCAGCTCTACTCGTTTGGGTCTTAGAATTGTCGCGCGAAGTTCGCGACGTAATGAGGTGATCAATGCATAGCTGAGAGCTTTGACAGATTTTGACAGATTCGTGCTTGATATTTGATGATATTTGATGATAGTTGCATATATTTGCGATATTTGTCATTCTGAGGCGCAGGGACTTGCTGACACCTCCAATTATCAGGCCAGTGTGCAGCCCTGCGCCGTGTTGCGGCAAGAACTTGGACGCGGCGTCGCATGGCATAGCTTGATAGGCAACACCAGCCAGGACCATCAAGGGTGAGAGCCTCAACTCACGACTATCCACTCTGCACACCTTCGTGTGATTCGTGAACAGCTTGGCAATTGGTAAGATGTCAAGGTTGAAACAAGACCACCTGGGCCATGGGAGAAGGCAGAATCGCTGTGTTCAAAAACAAGACTCACAAGATCTCACAAGTGCGCTTGGACACATTTGTATACATTTATCACATTCGAAATTCACATTCATATACACTGACAGCACTTGTAGTCGGAACAGTATTCTCAGCATACCTCATCATATCGTTATAATATATTAATATGATTATGTGTATATATATATATATATTATTCAATTGTTATCACAAGTTATCATACATGTCGTACATCACAGGCAGCTTGTGGTGGTTACCTGATTTGAAACAGATGCAGGGCGCCATGCAAAGCACCACAAATCCAGCGCAGAAGCCTCAGCGCCTCAGCACCTCAGTGTCGATCACATCGCTTGCCTTGTGCAACTGCCGAGGGCTGCGCTTCAGTGGTCCGAGGGGCGGCCCAAGTTGGCTAAGCGCTTAGATTAAGGATGATTAAGGAGGAAACGGGACAAAGTTCCGAACCATGTGAAATGCATATTGAAGAAAACTGCAGTGTCTTGTTTGAATGCATTCGCAAGTGCTCGTTGGCCTTGCACAAGCTTAACAGAAGCTTTCCAGGTTCTGAAACCTCGCAGTGCACAAGCAGCCGGGGCCGCGGTATCAGCACGTTGCCCTGGATCACAAAAATGACATTATGATGCATGATGCCACCTATGGCCTATGACTGCCCTCATGTTGAGACTTTAGCACTTAGGCCGTGCCTGTTTCCAAAGCTCCAGCAGCTGCACAGGTGCCTGTTTCCAAAGCTCCAGCAGCTACACAGCCGAAGCCCGAAGCCAAACCCCAGCCTGCACCGAAAGCACAACCAGACGTTTCGGCGGCCACCATAGCTCCACGTCCACAGCCAATTTCGACAGATGGACCGCCAACCCCTCCAACCTGGACACAGGTCGTGACACAAGGTCCTGTGACAATGAGACCACGGGCAAACACAGCTCCCGGAAGCCCCACGGCAATAACAATGGCTCCCAGGCCTTGCAATGGACCATGTCATGGACAGGTCAATGGACAGGTCATCCAACAAGTCCCAACCATGGGAGCACAACAGCGAGCTTGCTCCCCACCATCAACTGTTGTCACTTGGCTGAATCAGTTCCTCACATCACATTCTACTCAGGTCAAAGTTGGTGAGAGTGGAACCCAAAACTAAGGGATAGTCCATGATAGTCCTTACTGAAATTCAGAAAGTCTTGGTAGAATTGCCACCTGCCTGACTTCTTGGCACTTCCCACACAAAATCGCACGCATAGGTGGTGACTGGCATTGGTTCTGTTCAATCAGCCGTGCAGCACGTACCTGAGATGCTTCAAATCGAGTTTGGCACACCATGCAGATCCTGCAATGAACGCGGCACAATCAAACCCATGATGGAAAACACCACATGGATCCACATGGGCAGACCGCAGGTGTGATCATTTACTATCAATTATTTTCAGAATTTCGTGTATTCACATGTATTAACATGTACTGAGTTGACATGCGTTCATATTTTCAACATCTATGTGTATTATATATATTATATATATATATTGATATATATATATATGTGTGTGTGTCAACATGTATTTACCATCCACTTTTTAGGAGTATCCTATTTCGAAGCCATACCCCATATTGGTTTCTCCGAGGGCTGGCGCTGTGTCGCCAAGTGGACGTCCCAAGCTCCAACTGAAGCCCAGAGATCCCAGGTGCGAAGCATCGAAAGATGCTGAAGGAATTTGACAAACGAAACGTGACTAGGGCTGCGCAAGATGTTTGGCAACCTCCGTTGGTTTTATTTTCATCACCTCTAGCTGAGAGGCTTGGACCTCCAGGACGGTCACAAGCCAGGGTCCTTGGTTTGATGTTTGAAGAGGATCAAGGTTGTACATTTGACAGATTTTGACAGGCATCCCTTTGAGACAATTTGTGTGCACAGTCCCTCCTTCGGCCTGTCTAGACTTTCTACAGCGGTGCACGTCACTGGGATGAAAACTGCAAGAAGAAAGGGACAACTGAACAAGCCTCAAGACGAATTGCAATAGTTCCGTTCAGCCGCCCTTGTTCCAAGTTGGATGTGTCACGCCACCCAGGCGACAGTCGCACCAACTGCAGCAGAGCAACCACCCGCAGAGCCACAGCCAGTGCAACCACAGCAACCACAGCAGCCGCAGCCGGCAGGGCACTCAGACATCGCGCGGATGGTCAGGTGAGGTGGGCTGGTCCGGATGTTTTTCAATAAATCGCTGTCGACAATGGATCAAAACTCTGTTGCCTTTGCAAACGTCAGAAAAGCGGTCAAACGAATTTGCATCTACCAGAATATGGCCTTTGTGTTCAATATTTTTCCAAAATTACATATATATTTATTTATTTATTTGTTTATTTTATTTATTTATCTATTTATTTATGTATTTATGTATTTATTTATTTATTTATTATTTATTGGTTTTGTATTTACTTAATAGTATACTAGAGTTTGGCAGCGAGGGAGGAAAAACAAGATCGGGTTGACCCATCACCAGATGACCACCCGCCTTTTCCAAGGCCCAACCAGCACTGCAGCCTGACCCTGCAGGGGGCAGACCGAGGCCATTGAGCAGGGATTGAGCAGGGAAGCGAAATGATTTCGGGATGTTACTGATGTGACTACAGGAGAGTAGCTGTTTGTTCAAGGGAGCTCGTGCCAAGACTACTGGTTTCCTTTGCCGTAGATGTTGGAAAGACAATGCAGGTTGGTTCTGAAGAAGCGCACTGATCCAGCACCAGTGCCGTCTGCAGCTCCAACGGTGGCATCAGCATCCGCAGTACGGGTGAGAGCCTGAGAGGATGTGCTGCTTACAAATGCTTCATGTGATTGGAACGGTGCTAGACATGGCTTCGTTTGTCTACCTTGGTCAAAGCTTGTTCAGGTGTCATCACCTCCGCGAGTAGCTAGGAGCCTAACATGGTATGCTCCTGTCCTGCAGGATTTTGCATGACGTTGGATCACAAAGTCTTGGACCATGTTGTGGCTGATTGTGGCTGACCTCAGGCAGGCATGCTCAAACAGTACCAAAAAAATCTTGAAGCACGCGCCCTTGAAGGATATCATACATCCAATGATACTCTGACTTCGGACGTCGTATGGAAATGCAGAATAAGGAGTTTGTTTGGACAAAATGTTTCCACATGTTTCCACACTGTGTAATAATTTATTTCATGGCTTCTGACTTGCACTAGACCGGTGCAATGTGTGATCCGCGGGATGGACCGGCAAGACTCAGAAGAAGCTGAGCAGCTGATCCTCCGCCGCAAGGGGCTTACGACTTTGTTGATCGACGTCTCCAGACTTCGCACGTTGCGTATTCTGTCGGCATCGCACAATGTACTGGTGGACATCGGCCCAGTGGCTCAGTTGCCAGCTTTGGAAGAGCTAAATGTCAACCACAATCAGCTCACAGACCTATCCCCGGTGGTTCAATGCAAAGCTTTGCGGATCCTTTTGGCATCCAACAATCACATCAGTGAGATTGATGGACTTGAAGAGCTTCCGAACCTATGTCGCCTGTCGCTCTTCCAAAACATGTTGCCTGATCTGGATGCCCTGCTGGAAAGCCTGCAAGCTTTCCAACAGCTGCGGTCCGTGGATTTGGGGGGAAACCCATGTTTCCAGGATGCGGCTCACCGTCACATCATGGTTAAGGGTTTGCCCAACTTGACAGAATTGGATGGAGAGGCAATTGCCAATGTGGACAGACAGCTTGCAGCTGAGTTCTTCCAATGTGCTGAAGAATTCGGTTTTGAGCGCCCTGGAAGCTCCACTGGTTCGAGACCCAAAACTGCCCCAGTGAAGCCAGCTGGGCCTACTGCCAGTGCTGCCAGCGTCGGCTTAGGATTCAATGAACGAAGCTCCAGGAGCCAATCACGGCCTCGATCCTCACGAGGATCACGCAGCACATCAAGAGCTCGGTCGAATTCACCAGTTGCCCAAGATCCTCTCAGTGAGGTTCGTGAAGTTCCAGTGATCAGTGATGATACGCAAGACAATGTCCTGCGGTTCAGGCAATATGTGCAAGCTTTGCAACTTCGGCTGCGGACAACCCAGGTTGATTGCGAGAATCTCACGAGACAAATACAGCAACTCCGGCAAGAGGCACATGAACCTTTGCTGGGTGCTGCTAGTCTTCGGAAGAAGCTGGACAAGCTGACGGAAGAGAACTCATCAATGCATGCACAAGCAGATGAAAATCGAAAGATGCGCTTGGAGCTCGAGGCAAAAGAAATGGAGTTGTTTGAGAAGCGACAGGCTTTAGGCTTGCCAGAGCTTCAAAGGCCTGTAACTGGCAGACCAGGCACTGCACCAGCCGTCGAGGCGGTATTGGCCATGTCGGAACCAAGCACGACTGAGGCTTTCAAGTCAAAATGCCGAGTGCTTAAGAGGGAATTGGAGGTTGAACGTGAACGCACTTTGCAGCTGAGGGCCAAAGCTTGCTCTCAGATCTTGGGCCGAGAAGTAAGTCCCCCAAGGAAAGAATTTTAACATTCCAGCCATGCCAGGCTTGGAGCTGCGTCATTTTGCATGTGCAGGTCTCACTGTGTTTCATTGCATTTCGATAGTCTGAGTTCGAGCTTGTGAGAAAAGATGGGAAAAGTATGAAAGGCTATGTGATTGATGTTTCGGTTGAGCCAGCTGTGAAAGTTCGTTCCTGAAAAGCCGTTTTGGGACTGTGTGGCCTGAGTCTCAGTGACTTGCTGGATGTTGTTCTAAGGTGCCAAAAGCTGTGTTTGCCTCAGATACTAGCACCACAAATCAGCTGTGGGAAGCCAATGTTCTGAGTGACTCCAGGAATTGATAGGAACTTTATGGAATTCTAATGAGTTACATCATGGCACAATACCAGTAGTACCGCAAAAGGCGGTGACGGAAGTTTCAAAAATAGGAAACCTATAGGAGAAGTTGGTTGTTGTGAATCAAGGATGGCAGCGCGAAGCCGCTGATGGACCGAAAGGTGGTTGAGGTCTCCTCTCTTTCTCTTTCTTTCTCTGTTTCTCTCTCTTTCTCTGATTATCTACCCACCTACCTACCTATCTATCTATCTTTCTATCTATCTATCTCTCTCTCTCTCTCTCTTTGTCTGTCTGTCTGTCTATCTAGTTGTCTATCTATCTATCTATCTATCGATCTATCGATCTATCGATCTATCGATCTATCTATCTATCCATCTATCCATCTATCCATCTATCCATCTATCTAAAGTACTGCGCCTGCCACGAAAACTGGCTGCCAGGTCATACGAAATGCTGCACCTATCATGAAAAATCATCTTAGCAAACCTACACTTCTGATAATCCAAAGTGTAACCCATCTCAGGAAATCAGCACCCTGACCTCCCAACCTCTCTCATGAACATGTCTTTTGTACTGCGCCTGCCACGGAAAATGCGTCTTTGCAGATCATCTTCAAACGTCCCATGCCTGCCATCTTTTGTCGAAATGATGCAAAACCCTCATGTTTTGCTCACTGTTGACAAGATCCACAATCTCGTGCTTCTGCCACGCGAAACGATATCTGAGCCTCCAAAAGTGGTCCGAACCCCTAGTGCTTTTAACATTTTGACTTCGAAATGTGCTTCGCGCCACAACGGCGTGCACTTTTTCGAGATCTGAACTTCCAAAAGTGGTCCGAACTCCTAGTGCTTTTAACATTTTGACTTCCAAATGTCCTTCGCGCCACAACGGTGTCCACTTTTTCGAGTCGTCCGACACTGAGGTGTTTTGTACATTTTGACTTCCAAATGTGCTTCGCGCCACAACGGCGTGCACTTTTTCGACATCTCAACTTCCAAAAGTCGTCCGACACTGAGGTGTTTTTAACATTTTGACTTCCAAATGTGCTTCGCGCCACAACGGCGTGCACTTTTTCGACATCTCAACTTGGTCCACACCTGGTGTGCTTTGTGCTTTTTGAATTCAAAATGTGCTTCGCGCCACAACGGCGTGCACTTTTTCAACATCTCAACTGCCAAAAGTGGTCCGAACCTGGTGTGTTTTGTACATTTTGACTTGGAAATGTGTTTCGCGCCACAACGGCGTGCACTTTTTCAACATCTCAACTGCCAAAAGTGGTCCGAACCTGGTGTGTTTTGCACATTTTGACTTGGAAATGTGCTTCGCGCCACAACGGCGTGCACTTTTTCAACATCTCAACTGCCAAAAGTGGTCCGAACCTGGTGTGTTTTGTACATTTTGACTTGGAAATGTGCTTCGCGCCACAACGGCGTGCAATTGTTCATCGCTCATCTGGCCAGCTGGCTCCGCACCCGCCGCTTTAGCGAGCCTACTTTTCGACCCTCCGGAGCCCCAAATCATGGGAAAAACACAGTGTTTCGCGACTTTCCTACCTTTTCACGCATCTGCATCTTCTTTCTTCTTACTCTTCTTTCTTCTAATCTTTCTCTTCTTTCTGCCTCTTCCCTGCTCTGCTTTTCATCTGTCCATATTGTCGGAAGTTTGACTTCTAAACTTCCTTCGATTGCATATCATTACTCTCCTGTGAACAAACATAATGCCAAAAAAATGTGCTATTTTTGTTGGGGTGTTATGTCAGCTGTTCGGAACATAGGGGTGGGATAAAGGGACATTTTAGCTTCAAAGATTATAATGTAATGTCATATTATATCTATCATAGCTAGATTCTAGATTCCTAGATCTTGAGTATTTGTTGACACCGGTCTTCTAGGCTCAGACTTCCCCAGTGATGCGACCGGCTGCAACTCCGTCATGATCTTAGCAGATGTTCGCTGCCGTCGGTGAAAAGTTTGCATTTTTTGCTTTACTGAACTCTACTGGCGTCCTATTTTTCTTTCTGCGGATGGCCAAGGGCGAAACAGGCTCCACCAAATCCAGTACCAGTGGATGCTTCCCTCTTAGAAGTGGTTTCAGATTGGTGTGAGTCCGTTGAAGGTCAACAGCATTGCACACTTCCAAGGTCCAACTTCCATCTGCTGGGTGCTTGCCTGAAGTCCCACTGCATCCCTGACTGCCGTTGCTGTTTGCGAATCTCACCAGGTCTGTTTAAAGGTTGGCAAGCCAGGTAAACTAATTTCAGATGAACAGGTCTTGCCCCAAAGCAGCACCTGCGCTGCAGAAGGACATTCAGATCGTTCAGGGAGAGAATCAAGTAGTTTGATCACATGTGTATACGCACATATAATCACATATACTCACATACTCACATACCATGCATATCTGTGTGTGTGCCATGAGTTTCGTGATGTTTCAACTTGTACTGATCATGCAGGATCCTGCCGGCGGAAGGCCACGATTAGTGCTGAAGCCAAGAACTTCGGTCTCATCAACGAGTTAGCTCAGTAATGTCAAGTGCCTCCTGGCGCCAATTTACAGTGCGGCTCCAATCTCTAGATTTCCTGCATTGGGAAAGTTGAAGACTTTTCTTCAGTGCAATTGCTTTACTTTAAAATATGTTCCATTTTATGTTGGGAATGGACAAGCCGCATGCAGCAGAGAAAAAATACTGGGCAAATGTGCGCGCTGAAATACGAATGAAATACTCATATTAGGCTTTCGACAGTTGTGAGGACAGCTCCAGACGAAAACGAACAAGAAAAATAGCTCGCAAGATCTCGCAAGCCGACTACATACCTCCTTCACAAACCCTTATCAACAACGCAGTGGTCCCACGAGACAGGCAAACGTCGTCCTATCATTTTCAGCCTTCATACGTTAGACTGAAACTGCTCCAGTGTGCACAATGCCAACGACAATTGCAACAAAATGGGAGATAATGACTTACACATCAAATGTACATGTATTTAATATTCTTTACTACTTTAATCCATGTAAGATAGTTTAAGCGCCGCACCAGCTGGTCCCAGCAAACTTTCTTGCATGCGCCCAAAAAGGTCAGGTCTTCATGGTTTTGCCATGTTTTGCCATATGTTGGCGCATGATGTCATTTTATCATCATTAATCGAAGCAAGTTTGGAAGTCAAACTTCCGACAATATGGACAGATGAAAAGCAGAGTAGGACAGAGGCAGAGAGAAGAGAAAGATTAGAAGAGAAAGAGTCAGAAGAAAGCAGATGCAGATTCGCGAAAAGGTAGGAAAGTCGCGAAACACTGTGTTTTTCCAATGATTTGGGGCTCCGGAGGGTCGAAAAGTAGGCTCGCTACAGCGGCGGGTGCAGAGCCAGCTGGCCAGATGAGAGATGAAAAATTGCACGCCGTTGTGGCGCGAAGCACATTTGCAAGTCAAAATGTACAAAACACCTGGGCTCGGAGCACTTTTGGAAGTTGAGATGTCAAAAAGTGCACGCCGTTGTGGCGCGAAGCACATTTTGAATTCAAAAAGCACAAAACACACCAGGTGTGGACCACTTTTGGCAGTTGAGATGTCGAAAAAGTGCACGCCGTTGTGGCGCGAAGCACATTTGGAAGTCAAAATGTTTAAAAAAAACTCGGGGTTCGGACCACTTTTGGAGGTTCAGATGTCGAAAAAGTGCACGCCGTTGTGGCGCGAAGCACATTTGGAAGTCAAAATGTTAAAAACACCAGGGGTTCGGACCACTTTTGGAAGTTCAGATGTCGCTTCGCTTCACTACACTACATTACACTACACTACATTACACTACACTCCACTACACTACATTACACTACACTACCTTCCACTACACTTCACTACATTACACTACACTCCACTATACTACAACTACAACTACGACTACACAACTACACTCCACTACACTAAAATTACACTACACTACGCTACATTACACTACACTACACTACATTCCACTACACTCCACTCCACTATACTACATTACACTACACTACATTACACTGAATGACACTGCACCACAGATAGACAGGTAGACAGATAGACAGGTAGACAGATAGATAGATAGATAGATAGACAGACAGATAGACAGTTAGACAGCTAGACAGATAGACAAATGAAAGAGAGAGAGAGAGAGAGATAGATAGATAGATAGACTTAGATAGACTTAGATAGACTTAGATAGACTTAGATAGACTTAGATAGATAGATAGATAGATAGACAGATAGATAGATAGATAGGTAATTAGATGAAAGAGAGAGAGAGAGAGATAGATAGATAGATACATAGAAGATAGATAGATAGGTAGGTAGGTAGATAGTCAGAGAAAGAGAGAGAAAGAGAGCAGACCTCAAACACCTTTCGGTCCATCAGTGGATTCGCTCTGCCATCCCTGATGCACAACAACCAATCTCTCCTATAGGTGTCCTATTTTTGAAACTTCCGCCACCGCCTTGTGCGGTACTACTGGTACCATCCACGATGAATCATCGGCAGGTTACGGAAGCCAGCCAGGACGGCTGGCTGTAGTTGCTTTATGCGAACGAACTGAGATTGGGGGTCTGGGGTGTCTGTTGCCGAGGCGTCACGAAATCTCAGCATAGTTTGGGTTAGGGAGCCACCAGGAGTATCCAGGAGTAATCTTCGATGCTTAGGTTCTCGTTTAGTCGTTCACAACGGGTGGGGAGAAGAGTTAAGTTAGAAGCGACCAAAACGAAGCGGACGGTTGTGTGGACGGAAATGGCTGTGGGGAGAGCCAGGTGGGGGAATAAAAACTGTGCGGACGGTTGTGCGGTGGTGGAATTATGAATTATGTTTTTACGATAGGTATTTTCTAAAGATATTGTAATTTAGATTGCTCAGGGCAGATAAATAAATATGTAAATTATATTATAATATATCAATATTATTGGGAATTTATTATTATTTGATAAGTTCCACCATTGCCCCCCTTTAACCTTGTAATATTTGGGGGGGGTAAAGCAAGAAATTTCTGAGAAATATTTTACCTGATTATATGAAATGT